CACTTTTTATCGAAAATTGTACTATTTCACGTATGTTCGGTCTGAATTCGATGAAATCGATGAAACCCTTTACATTTTGCTGCCGGACTCGTTTTCGAGGTGATCACTTTGCAAAAATGATTTTTCTTATTGTTTATAACTATTGTTATTGCAAAATTCCTATTTTTTATGGAACTCGTTTTTTTTATACTGCATCTATTGTAGAGATTTCCAAGAATATGTAGAATGTCATTGTTTATAAAAAAGAAGTTAATAAATTACAATTGAACGTAGTTTCTGTTTTAATTGACCAGTGTACGAATACTTACTACACCCACTGTACATTCAAAGGTACTCGATTCTAGAACCTACTTATGCCAATTATTGCAGAACACCCTATATACAATGCGTATCATATTATAGAAGGTGTGAAATTGTAAAATGTATCATTTAAATGGAAGATTAATCGGTTGTCAGTCTGGAAAAAAAAACTCTGGAAGCGGCCTGCCAACGAACCTACCATTTACGGTGGTAAAATTTTTATAATTATCGACAGGTGTGACGTTTATTAATTACTCGCAATCGCTTGCTTCGCAGAGGAATCAAGAAGCAAACATTTATAATCGCGATTCTATCGAGGTCTCGGAGGAAGGATCTCACAATTAGACGCGAACGATTCCCTCGCGAGCGTATCCTTGTTCGTCTCGATGTTTCTGAGAGAATAATTGAACAAGGGCCATTCTTGCCGACAGAATATCAATCTGAATAGTTGAAGGAGACACGCTGATGCCGCGACCTCGCACTTCACCATCGCGTGTCAGTCACTCTCCGACCTTTAATGATGTATACTGATACGACCTAATCCTGCTCGTGCTATCTTGTAATCCGCAAACTGTAAGGGTCTTCAGATAATTCAGACTGGTGATAATCAAATTTGCTAATCCTTCGTGAAATTGAGTTTGGATACGCAAGGTCCACGGAAATCCTCCGAATAAATACTTCTAAGTATTATTATCACTAGATTGCGAATTTTATGCGTTTATGATATAAACTGATATAAAAAGCTAAGCACGACCAAAAGGTATATAAATTAAAGGTGTGTAGATTACATTAAAATCGAAACTATTTATAATTAGTATTTCTTAATACATTATTAAATGATCTTAAAATCACAAAGGAATGTTTAAAATAAACGAAAAAAGATTAAAACGTATTCATTGACTTTTCGAATTCATTTGACTATTACATACTACAATTCTATGCGAAATAAAATAATAATATCATTATAATAATTGTAGATTACATTAAACCTATATTATGTATATTTTACAGCATAAATGCATATAATCCGTAGTCTAAATTATATTATAAAAATAAAATTATCATTTTCAATGTGTTAACATGATAAAAACAGCAACTCGAATAAAATCATAAAGGATTCTCCAAAAAGAGCTCTAGGATTTTGGTTCTTCATAACAGAGTAAGGAATTGGAACATTTTTGATAAAATAGCTTACTGCGACCATCCCTTAACCCCTTGCTTTATTTTATGTTCTATCAGTTTAGTAACAAGCTTCAATTATACTCAAATAATCTGGTTTCAAAAAAGCATCATTGAGCTGGCCTCATAAATACTATCAAAATAGTTAGAAGTTTTTTTAGAAGAATCTCGATAAACGTTTGAAACAACCCCGTACGTGGGCCAATAAAAACAGTGTCTGTGATTAGTTGAAACAATCTAAAAGTAACAGATAATTATGTTCAAATAATTAGTTTTATTTGGAAAATTCAACTTCAATTAGTATTATTAAATGAATATGTCTAGATCTAATCAATATTAATCGACCGAACAATTTGAGTAATGACAACTACATTAAAAATAAAATATAAAATATCGACAATAATGTATATATTATTCCATTTAGAAGATAAGACATGCTTCTACTTAAGTTTCAATGCTTTTTCTATATCTGTATAAATATGAATTTGAATAAACATCTGCAGTCTAATTAAAATGGTGTGTCTTATCAGACTGTGTAGATTAACAAATTGAGTATCGAGTAAAGAAGAAAAGAAATGTATAATAGAAGAGATAAATAAATGTTTGTTACTAAAAATGTACGTGAGATTAATATAAAATACGATGTAATTGTATGAAATGTAAAAAGAAAAAAAAAAGCAGAATATAAGAATGTACATACATATGGAATAATAATTTCGTTGACAGGAAAGAAAAATAATGCCCGTCTATATTAAAATCGAAACTATTTATAATTATTATTTCTTAATACATATTAAATGATCTTAAATTCGCAAAGGAATGTTTAAAATAAACGGAAAAAGAATAAAACGTATTCATTGACGTTTCGAGTTTATTTGACTATTTCTTACTATTGTACAATTCTTTAAAAGAACTTCTAGAATTTTTCCATTTGATAAATTATTGGTTTATAAAATTGTACTGGACGTTAATGAATATCTAAAAATATCTATACGTATATTGTTATAGTATGTACATTAATAATAATAGCAACACTTTCAAAAATTGGGATGGTGTTAGTAATTTCTTAATTACATTTTTCATAAAGACTTAATGTCGATAAACTATTACCTAATACCCTCTTTTACTTTTACATGTCACCTTTCTTTTCCAGTATGCGATTCATGAGAGATCTAGTTTAAAGATCCAAGAAAGTAAGATATGAAACAGGATCTTGTGCGTCTTCAACATACTCGGCCTTCAGAATGTTCGAAGTGAAATGAATTTTCATGAAAATGCGAGTGTAGATAGTATTTAGTATTCACGTAACCGTGATTTCCTTTCATTCACCAGCTTGTTGTAATTTATTGCTGGCGAAATATCATTTCAATTAACATAATCTCGATAACTAAGTAATGAACTTGCAACTTTCTTTCTAATGCACAACAAGAATGTAAATGAACATGCTAATTTCAGTATTGCATTCCTTCCTCTTACGAAATACTAAATCACAACTACGTGCCCATAATTATATACTTATTTGTTGAATGTGGCGCTGACCGGAAGGATCTTCCTTCATTCGTATGTTTGATGCTGCAACAGAAAGCACGTGTGTATTCTACCTCCTAATAAAACCTACCGAAGCATGTGTGTATTTTCCAAATTAATAAAAACCCAACATTATTAATAATAATTTCCAATTATTTGAAGATTAGTAGTGCCACACTATATTGGGATGCCACGCATTGTTTATCCCTATAGTGACGAGGTCAGGCACATTTATAAAACAAGTATTTTTTATCACAGAGAAAAATTGAAACTACAAAGCGAAAAGCTTTTCATAAACTGTATGCTTGGATGACCATGAATGGGAGTACTTTAGTGGCACTTAAACGTTGTTATAAACAAAGTCAATATGTTCTTTTACAAAATTGTATAATTTCTTAAAAATTTAGATTTTGATAAGATTGCTGGCAGAAGCTCCATTATTTTTTTTTTAAATCGGCTTACACCGCTTCGATAATGTTCTCCAATGTTCGCGGGGATTCCGACGCGGAGGGCGGTGATTCCCCGAGGCGATTCTCTCGCTCGGAGTGGCATCATCTTGTTCTGTCCGCTGGAGACGGGAACAGAACTCGAACTGGGTCAGGGCAGCGCGCCAAATGGTTGGATGAATTTTATTTTAAATTTATCAAGTCCGCTTCGTTTCCACGGACACGCATGATCACTGCGGATTTCCAGACTGTGCGTACCGATTAAAACGATACCCTTGTTTCCGTAACGCAAAAGCTGAGCCCCGAATAGTAGAACAAGAATAAAAATCATCGTATAACGATTTAATCGCAACACTTATTCGATCAGACACATATTCGGATAAACTGTCATTCGTCGAATGTGAATCTTCTTGGTTTGCTTTGGTAGTTTATGAGGACAATAAGTAAAATAGCCAATAGCTGAACACATTTCAAAATATATCATGTTTGACTTCGACTTTGGCAAATAAATATTAACTTAATTAAAAGTGTATCAGTATCCCTCTGAAATACACGCAATTCTAAATCAATTACAAGAAGAAGTAAATTAAGTGGATTTACCATTTTATACAAGTTTTTAAAAATATGCGGGCGAAGTAGTAGTTCTTGCACAATCTATTTTGACTAAAAACAGTAGTTGAACATGCGAGACCCTTATAATACTTGAACAAATATGCGATACGATTTTTAGTACTGCGTTTTAAATAAGATTACTTAATGGACAAACGTTTGACAAAGACGAGCAAGCAGAATTTTAAAATATATACGAATTTAATTTTAATTAATTTTAATTAATAAATAATTAATTAATAAAATTTAAATTTTTTCTTTCTCGCATATAACAATAGCCTCTTTATCAGTAGTTTCATATACGTAATGTTATTAAAATTATTTATCTTACATATTGTATGCGTTATTACATTACGATTTTATATTTTATATGACTTCCGTCTTTGAATCATTTTATTTACTTGTCATTATTTAGAAGAGAGTATCTCGTTTAAGTAGCAGCTACCGCTTTTAAAATTGGTAGATACAGTTAGACGATCAAATTTAATATTAAAATAAGAATACATTCACCTAATAAATAGTAAATTATGTGTCGAAATATGCTATCTTGTCTAGAATAACAATGAGGTATCACGAACCAAATTTGAATCACGAAACTAAAAGGAATTCTAAATATTAAATTCTCCTTTGAATTTATACTACTTTTATCCAATTTCGGAAAGTACACTGAACAATAATATTGTTAAAATAAAATATATAAGCTATATTAAAATTTGTATGTTTTCTTTAACGATAAACATGTGAAACATGTAAAACATGAAATGCACTGTAAGTAGCCTAAGACTTTTGCAGAGTAAATACTGTAGCTCCAGAGAAATTAGAATCTGTTCATTTATTATTTTCACTTTACCTGAAAAAAAACAAGATAAGAAAAGAAGGTAAGCTTTAATGCAAGTAGCAATGGACATGGTATTAATGTTACGTTAACGCGATTTGCAGGAGGAAGTCGCATAATATATCGCACCTGCGATGAGGAACCTTCTGCTGTCCTTCCTCTTAAACGGGGGAAGCATTGAAGTCTCCGGATTAATCTTCAATGCAATCCAATCGTTTATTTCTCTCTCATTGTTCAACCGGCAATGGTTACTGACGGACCATGGAACATCTTCGATTAAGGTTGCACATCTTTTATTGCATTCGTGCATTCAAACATGTATCGATGTAGGACAGGCTGTTACCTGTCTGTCGCCTCTTCTGCAAATTACATTGACTAACAAATTTAAACGATTCTTATAACGTTTCTCGTCCTAAATGTAAATCTGAATGCCAGATTGCTCCATCGCCCTCAGTTTTCGAAAAACTGGAGGTTTTGTAAGATCGATCGATTTTTAGAGAAAATGTAATACTACTTGTAAACGAAAAACGATAGACAGTTCTATTTAGCCTTAAAAAATAGAGGAGAATTTTTTAAATATGCAAATATGTTCGATTAGAATTATCTGCGTCTTTGAATGTCTATGCGAGTAAGTACTTTATCTCTGTGAATCAGGGCCGTCGCCACACGCTTCATGGACCTTCAGATTCTTGCAACTTTGCTAAAATTCATCCCAAATGGACGAGTAAAAACAATATTTTATAGCTTAATATTTTTAATACTTTTCAATACTTATTAATACTTATTAATACTTATTACTTTTTAATACTATTACAGTTTTTGATTTTACATCGAATGGATAGGTCATACAGAATTTATTGTCCAGCCTTCTCAGTCTCTAGATTTAAGTTCCCTGGACTTTTATTTTTGGAAGCTACTTAAAACTATTTGTTTATTCAAGACTCATTTCCAGTGTTGAAATACTTTGGCAACGTTTACGAGAAAGCAGCCAACGAATCCGACAAAATATGGACAACATACATGGAATATTTGAAAGATTGAGAAACTATAACGAGACATTTCCAAGCTTATACTTGGTCCGATGGTAGCCATTTGAGTACTTCTTATAAAGGTGATCAACACATTACTCAAGTATAAAAATGCATTCTGCATAATTCAAATATGAAACTTATTATACACTCAAACATACAAATTAATTGATAAAAAATAATATAGAGGGTGTCCCACCTAACTCTTGCATCTTTATCTCGCGTGTTTCTTGTGATAGGAAAAAATGTTTGAGGAGAACATTGTTTGGTTTGGAAAGGGACATACTATGACAAACAAAAACATGATCTCAAGGTCATATTTTCCAAGATCTCGACATTATTGGTATTTTTTAAACAAAATGAGTTATTTTCATTATTTTAACAATGTAGCTGATAAAAAGAAAACAAATTCAAACATAATTTTGTTGACTTTCGGATGACTGTGTACGTTAGAGTATGATTTTATAAGAATGACTCCTCACACCTTGTGGTCATCCGAAGGTCAACATATTATACATGTTTGATTTATCTTTTTATTGAGATTATATTTTTGCCTATCATAGTATGTTCACCTCCGAATCTAACAATGTTCTTCTCAAACATTTTTTGCAATCACAAAAAATACACAAGATGGAAGAATTAGGTGGAACACCTTGTACATGATCTGGGAAAAATATTCTCAGCAATTTATTAATGAAAAACTGTGATATATTTGGAAATCTTCTTTCAACGTTTTTATAATCTCTCATTAAGTAATATCATTGCATTGCTTCACAAATGTTCCATCAACATGGGACACATAATTACGAGAAATAACTATAACATCATAATAACAAATGTATGAAACAATTACCTGATATTGTACGAAAGTTTCTTACACGAATAATATTATACGCTTCATTACGTATCAAGAACTCGTATACACTTGCGCTTTCAGGAAACGATTATGTCTGGTTACCGATCATACATATTAAATAGAGGAAATACACAATGAACTACAGGTAATAACCGATAGTGGAGAACCACTGGGTCTGTGTGAGTCAGGCAGAGTAAGGTCCAGTATAAGGTCCTGGGGTGATTCGCCTAGACGGCCATGACCATATTACAGGCCAGAGGCCCCCAATACCAGTCAGCAAGCTCACTTCCAGTAACAACTGGCGAAATCATTGCCGGCAAATCGCTTCACGTGTTCACAACAGAACTCGAGTTCATGGACTTAATTTGTTTACACAACCATGTCAAAAGCTATATTCATCCTTCGTTGTACGTTTAAGTATTCAACCCCAATGATTCATGTTACCTCTTTTGCTACAAAAATATGTGAAACCATTTACGTTTGAAAAAGAATCAAGCGAATGTATATCTTACAATAAAATTGAATCGATAAAATTATTTAAAAATATACACGATTACTTCTAGTAATGGAGAATAGTATTTAATAACGAATGATAACACTATCCAACAAATTTAAACTTTTTTTAAATTCCGCGATATCCACTAGGTGATTCTTATAGGGTTCCTCATCCTAAATACAAATCTGAGAGTAAAATTGCTCCATCACCCTTAGTTTTCGAGAAATTCGCGATTTTGTAAATACGGTCGATTTTGAGAGAAAACGTAATACTACTTGAAAACTACGAACGCTAGAAAGTTCTATTTAGTCTTAAACGATAGAGGAGTGTTTTCTAAATATGAAGACATATTCCTTTAGAATTATCTGCTCTAATGAATGCCTGTAAATGAACACCGAAGTTCAAAAAGGTGATGATGCGAGTATTTTTCACGAAATACGTTTGTATTTTTATGAAAAGTTATTCGTCTAGGTCGAATTTACTATGCATTATAGGATTCTGCATACATTTCTGAAGAGAAAACCACCCGTGGTAAATGTTGGAACGTTTTCTAGTTCGTACAGATCCAGAAAATATTAATTTAGAACGCACGAATTCTGTTTGCCGGCGCGCAGGCTTCGCTCGCTTTATATCGGTGAATCAGGATCGTCGTCATGCGTTCTGCACAATCGTCGCCATGTGCTTGAATAATAACCATAGAATTCTCGTAACTTTGTTAAAATTCGCCCCACATTGACGAATAGAAAACCATTTTACAGCTTAATGTTTCTACTTTTCGATACTTTAATCTTTTGTTATTTAAGTTAGTATTTGGGGGGTAAACTCTGCTCTAAAGAGAGATTTTTTATAGATAACAGTTTTCATTAAAAATTAATAACAAAATATACAATTATAGATTGAATTAATTGTTAAATAATTCAATTTAGATTTAAATAAAGTTTGCTCAATACCAAATTAACAAAAGTTGAATAATTGAAGATACAAAAACGGGAAATTAATGATTAAAATTTAAACAGTGGAAAATTGTCTCCGTTTTGTTAAGTTCCAGTATAAATGAAATATTAAAAATGAAGAATTACTTATCTGGAACATGTTAATGTAATACAAAAACCCGAGTTCCGAGTTGACGTTTTGTCAAACCGTATGGATTAGAAACCGTTCCAACATTTGCCGCGGATGGTTTTCTCTTCAGAAATGTTTGCAGAATCCGATAACGTAGTATAAATTCGACCTAGGTGAATAACTTTTCATTAAAATACAAAAGTAATTCGTGAAAAATTCACGCATCGTCACCTTTTTGAACTTCGGTGTTCATTTACAGGCATTCATTAGAGCAGATATTCTAAAGGAATATGTTTTCATATTTAGAAAACACTCCTATATCGTTTAAGACTAAATAGAACTTTCTAGCGTTCGTAGTTTTCAAGTAGTATTACGTTTTTTCTTAAAATCGACCGTATTTACAAAATCGCGAATTTCTCGAAAACTAAGGGTGATGGAGCAATTTTACTCTCAGATTTGTATTTAGGATGAGGAACCCTATAAGAATCACCTAGTGGATATCGCGGAAAAAGAATCGTGTTGGACAGTGTAATTTACAAAGAATATGAGAATTATATTTGTAAAAATCCAAAAGAATATTTATACATACATGGAATTGTAGTTAAAGGAAAATTTAGCTAAATACAATTATTTTATTAATTATTTTTCTTTTACGATATATTGGAAGAATCGTCAATTCTATACATTACATATTTATTTACATACGCAGATGCGTATAATTTATTTACATTGATGAAAAGGAAATTTACAAAAAAATTAAATTAAATCGTGTCCCCTTCGCAAATATGAAGTTTACCGTCAACGATACTGCGGACAATGTTGTTTTATTATTGACCTCGAAATATCTGCGTGCCCTGTGACATGAAAAATAAATGTAGTCATTGTTACACCAAATTTTCATTCAGTTTTATTTCTTACATCCGACCTTGCCAAAGGTGTCCCTGTGTTACCGACTACGGATTCCCACAGCGTGTAGCGAAAATGCCAACTTTTACAAAACGCGACTGGATGCGCTATTCGGATTCCAAGAGCTGGATTCCGAATAGCGCAGACTACGAATCAAAGAAACTGGTGTCAGCGATCGAACACCAATGCATGAGCTATGCTCAAGGTCTGTTCCCACGGGCCAAGCGCGTTATGCGAGGATTACGCGCTATATAAAACCCACGGGCACGCGCCGCGGGCCTCTTAGTTCGCTCTTACAAGGAAAGCTTTTTAAATAGAGCTTTCAAATATTTGAACATATACGTATTTTTTATACTGGCCCGTTTTTATATTTTGGGGGGTGAAACAACCCCCTAAAGTTTCAGCTGCAATGAGCTATTATTATAAACGAATTATTTTTTACAAAATTTAGGGCCAGATTTTATATGCAGATAAAAAACCATGAAACTTTTTCTTAAAAAGTTTTCTTCTATCTATAATAGTTTCGGAGATAGCCTATTGCAGCTGAAACTATAGGGGGTAGTTTCACCCCCGAAATATGAAAACGGGCCAATGTAAAAAAATACGTATATCTTATTTTTTGGTCCTTTAAAACATATCCAAAAATCAAAACAATCAGAGGCGGACACCTAAAAAGCTTGCCTTGTTAGTTCGACAACTTTGGCAGAGCCAGATATAATATATTTATAACTAAAAACATTAATATTACCTAGTTGCAATTCAATATATAAAGCTAACATTATTACATGTATAGGAACATCGCAATCCGGACCTTTCGACATCCAAACCTGAAAAAATATAATATTAAGCAAATACTTAAAAATAACATATTCATATTTATGGTATACATATAGATACACTTCTACTAATTACCTGTTTCAAGGTTTCTCCAGATTTATCAAGTTCACCACGGATTGCATAAGCTACAGCTAAATTATAACGGAGTACAGCAATACCCGTAGGAACAGTCGTCGGGTACCACACTACAAAACATAATTAATAATCATTTTATGTATAACTAACAATCAATAATTTCATGAAAGAATTCAATGTTTTGAAAATAATTCTTACTTTTTATAGGTTTTGAAATAACTTCATCAAGTTTTTCTTTATCTTTATCCTGGGTTTCAGGAATAGGTACAAAAGTATTTAAATCTTGAATATTTTCTGGTTTAAGATATTCAATTGCTTCGCTAATTTTGTCCATAAATATTAAACTTTCTCCAGCGTAAAGATTTCCCAGCATTCTATATGCCCCAGGTAATTTGTTAATATTTAATAACAATTTAGCGTGCTCAAGTGCAACGACATAATCGCCTAAACATAAACATACATAAGCTGTTGCAGCTAAAACACTAATCTTCAAATTTAATGCTTCCACAGCTGTAACTTGTGATACCACAGTTGAATGTTGAGCCCCTAAAAAGTTCTTCTTTTAATTATTAACGATAATAATCATGTTCGATGGTACTCATCCATTAAGTATACAAATTAAATACCTAAATTATGGCCAGCTGTTAGCGATAAAGGCACTGTCTGTGGACTAGTAATAGTTGTCACTGGTACATTAAGATCGCTACTGTTTGGTAATAAAAATAATGCATTCTTTAAACAGAGAGATGCAAATTCTAAAGTTAGTTGTGGTATAGCAGAAGGAAAACCCTCAGGATGATAGTTTGTATCTTTGGAAAGAGAAGAAGCTAAAATAATTTTTCTATAAATTCCGGAACCAACAACTTTTTGAACTAAATCCTTTCTTCGTTTTGGAATATTAAAATCAACTTCATTTGTCTATAAATGATACCAGTATTAATTTTTTTCTCAAAAATATTAGAATACATAATAGGTAAACTTACTGGTTTGTGGCAATAAATGCAACACTCTGCAACTCTTAGCCAAAGCTTGGGATTATTATGAAGTTTTTGGGCAGCTTCCATAAAGCAATCAAAAGCAGCTGGTGCTTGGCCTGCATGTAATAATGACACACCTAAGCTATACATTAGTTCGTAATGTCTATTCCCACTGAGTGTGTATAACGGTTGAGAAGATAAAGGATCTAGATAAAGGATTTTTCATTTAAGAATTTATTTTGTATATCTAAATATAAGATAATGAAGTAAAGATTAACTATTATAATTACCACTGTCTTTCACCTGTACACTTTCTATTGCACATTTATTTTCATGTAAAGCCTTTCTCAGATAGAAACAAGCTAAATTTGGTTTGCCCATAGAAAGATGTAAACATGCCATGTTGTTGTAGTATAAAACAGCAGTTGACTCTCCACAAGTTCTAAAGTTATTAAAAATATTATTAATCTAAAGTCTTGATAGTAATTTGTAATGTTCACATAAACTAATTATAAGTATAACATACTTGAAATCTAAATTTTCCGATGTTACAGAGTTTAGTAATTTGATAGCTTTTCTGTAATTTCCTCTTAAATATTCAAGATTAGCTTTTAAAAACACAGTAGATATATTCTGAAAAGACAAATGTAAATGATTATGACATAGATAAATAAAATATTCGGTAATCTAATCTATACAAGCATATTATATTTTTATAGATAAGAAATACCTGCCCTTTATGATTACTAATTAACGTAGATTATGTTTGACATGCAAAACTTTTTTTTTCTGAATATGTTTTCTTAAACAATGATTCTATTATTTTTACCTTTAAAATTTAACCAATAAAGTATTATTTTTATTTTGATCTAGTATGCTAAATAAAGAAATATATTTATTCCATTTATCATCCTTTAATTATTTATGAGTGACTTTGATTAGAACTAATTTATGTGTAATAACTTCACATTACTTTCTTTTCTTAGATGTTTCATTCTAACTTATGAACAAAAATGATAAATTTCTTATCTATGAAAATATAATATGCCTGTACACATTAGATTATTAAGTTTTTTTATTTATTATTATTAGGAGATTTAAAAAAAAGAAAGAAATAGTTTCATAATGGCATCATATTATCTTACTACAGGTGTACCCAGGGTAACTAGAGTTTTCCATTCCCTTTTACACAGTTTCAGTTGGTGCATCATTAAATATATTCTAGCTTTACATTTCAATAATTTCATTTTGAATGCATCAGTAACTGTATCGACCTCTTTTTTCTGTTCCTTCTGTTCTTTTATTGATTTCAATATACCTTCTTTATCAACAGGCGTAATTTTAGAATTATCAGTAGATATAAGTTGATTTTCTATGTAATTAATTAAGGATAATGCTGCATCCGGTTGATCCGTTACAATATGTAATTCTATTAATAGGAGACAAACTTTATGTGCAAGTGATTCTTCTGAAAAAGAAAATAATATATATATCTATATCTCTCTCTATATATATTAAATTCAACATCATTAAATTACTTTTTAACACTTAATTGGCTTGTTGGTTAAAAATAGCTATTTAAAAAACTTATGTAAACGGCCGGGCAGATATTAATACCCATCTAGACTTTGTTGTAGATTAGAGCTTTCAAGCTAGTGATCACAATAATTATCAATTTCTTCATAAATTTAATTATTAGACAGCAGTAGTCATAAAACAAAAATAAAAGATTTTTTTAGAAAGAATAATTTCATGTTTCAAGCATTATCACTCTTATCACTTTTTGTTTTCAATAATGATAAATATCAATAAAAATGATTTCTGATCATAATTTACTTTAGTTTCTTAATAATACATATTTCTTGCCATTTTTAATAGCGTAAAATATAAATATTCGAATTAAGTAAAAAAATCTTCAAACAGGGACTTTGAAGAGTAGTCATATTAAATATTATAAGAAATAATGATAAATATGAAAGTTATAGCAAAATTTATAATGGTTCTTCATATATTATTGCTTTATACAGAATTTTAATATGGGCTAATGAATTGATTTTCTTTTTATGAATTAAAACACATATGCTGAATGACAGAAACATAACATTTATTTATTTAATTCACATGGTTTTCCATATGATAAACAAAAAAAAATAATCTCTAATTGTAACATCGCAAGAATATTCAAACACCTCAGCAAATATAATACTTTTACATCAAGCATATACATTTATAAACAAAATTATAATAATTTCAGTATTTGGTTGAATATTTTTTGTGGTTAATAACATTTTATAGATGTCCAGGCATGCTAAGTATAAAATTCTGGAAATACACCTCCACTTTTCCATTGGTCGTATTTTTAGTTTTTTCTTTGTCTTTATAATTGTATTTTGAATAGTGCAATCTAATAAATCCCATAGATTTTCTGTAGAATATAAATCTGGTGACTGTGGAGACAGAAATGATACTTTTGAACAATTATATATTAAATATTCCTGAACACTTCATGACTTTTTTATATTTTGAATCATTATCCTGGTAAAACGTCAAAATATGATAAATGTTCATATTGGTAGTTCTTCTTATTAAATTTTATTTTAAAATAGTTAAATAGTTAAATTTTTCTATCAAAAATCCACTCCATAAAAATTAAATCGCCTACTTTTGTTGTTGAAATACAACCTCAAATCATTGAACTTTATCCTTTTCCCAATGATAAGTAACTAAGTGTATAAATGTTAAATAAACTATATTTTCCTGTATGTCTTCTGTTTATAAATGTTTACATGGACGATTCAGCTGATTTTCTAAAACAAATATACCAAATACAATATTGAATTTAAATATTTTTGCGACATTAAAATCAAACATTCTTTATTATTCATTGAAATTACATTATATGAAAACTTACGTAAATTAAAGAAATAAATTTTGTTTCTCTCACCCACGGTAAATGATTAAATTCATTACATAATCATTAATTTATTGAGACCATATTAAAATTACATACAAAACAATAACATACAACATACCATGCTGTCCAAATACTAACATGAGTCAATGTATGCAGTTTACCGTAATATTTTAGTGAACTACATTATTGTTTACATACCCATAGGTTCTATAAAAGCAAATAATCTATTCATAATTTGAAGTGCAGCATTATATTGTTTTGTATGATACAATAAAATTGCTTGATTATACCGCATAACACATTTCTCGATATCATCTATCGTTTCAGTTGAATCTGTTGTAGACATTTGTCCACATATTGCGTTCAAACTTTTCCTTAACAACTCAGTTTTCTTCAAATCATTTTTGTAACACTCTACTACAACTTTATTATGCATTACTTTCAAGTCTTTGGGTCTCAGAGTTTCCAGTTTATTTAAATATGACAAACAACTGACATATGCACCTTTCTGAAATTCAGAAAGTGCATTCTGAGCCAACTCGCGTTCTTGTTCCGTTATAACTACTGAACCAATATCTTTGGTTTGTGCTTCAGATGTCTCACTCATATTCATTTGTTACGCAGTAATATTTAACTTAATAAAGTTCTCACAATAATCAAACTTATTTCTCGTAATTTAATGTTGAATAATTTTTAAACAAATATCCACATTTGACACTCGCAAAGGTTAAATTTACATCAAATGATTGTAAAGGATCTCCATACTTTTCACCAAAAAATTATTAAAAGCAAAGTATATACAAAATGATATTAAAACAGTTATTAGTTAAAAATATTATTGCGTGCATTTGCATGCACTGGCATACATTTCAAACAAATCTAAACACTTGCCAAAACCACAAACGAGCTAGAGAATAGACTAGACATTGAAAAGAACTTTCTGACCTCTAATTCGAAATTAGTTTACATTCCGCAGAGGTACAAGCAGCGCTACTGTTGAGTGATTCTGGGGGATTTTCTGCTAAATGTCACTAGTGTACAAGACTGTTAGGTCCGACATAAATGAAATTTTTATTTGCAAGTTTTCCATAAAAACGCTTTGTAGCTCGATAGGTTTACTTCTCTTGATTACGAAATGAATAATCATTATGTGTTTCTTTCATTATTGTGTCTGAAGAACGTAAAAAACTGTTTCGTAGTTCACCTACAGTCCGTTGATGGCGCTAGTTTAGCTCTTGCGAACCAATCAAAGCAGACTTAAACCCTACACGACAAAACCCTAGACTTCGAATAAATCTGAAGTTTGACGATATGTTTGTTTCTTTTCCTTCTTTGGAAAATGTTCTAAAGAGGAAAGGAGATAGACATATCGGCAAACTTCAGATTTATTCGAAGCTTAGGGTTTTGCCCATCACTGAATCAAAGTAGCAATACAGGGTGTCCCAAAAATGTTGTAACACCTTGAAAGGGGTGGTTTCAAATCACCCCCCGAACCACCCCTTTCAAGGTGTTACAACATTTTTGGGACACTCTGTACAATGAAATAGTTACGTTCTGTAGACCATGTTTATCAATATAAAAAATGTAACACAGTGCAAATTAAAATACTATAAACAAAAAAATGCACTTTTATATAGCTTTTTAGTAACTTAATCAGACTTCTAGATGTCAAACAATTAATGGATGTCTCCAAACCATCTCAATTTGTTATGTATCTGATCGATTTTTTTAGGTTATATTCAAGCAAAATTATTTGATAAAAGTCGTAGAATATTTGATTGATTCTAATTTTGGCTTAACAAATATTATACAGATTTAATGCGTCATTGTTAAATAAACAATTATTTGTGGTTTATTATTATCTCCTGAAATAATTTATACAATGTCAAATGATAAAAATCAATCTAAAATACTATCGCTTCATTCATTTGACAAACAGGTAAGATATTTTCAAAAATAATTTGAAAAATTGTATAATCTGTAGATTATTGGTTAGAATAGAATATTGCTTATGCAGATTATAAAATGGTAAAACAATTTTTCAAAAACTATATAATTTTACAATAGATCAACTCTGATAAGAATATACTTAATGAATTTAATATTTATTTTATCAGGATGTTTCGATATTACAAACGGTACAAAACATGTCTTTGGAAACTAATGAAGTTGTGACATTCGATTATTTACAAGGATGTGCAAACAGTTTTGGAAGTAAAGATTCTGGAATAAATTTATCACCTATCCCTACAAATAACTCGAATACAGAATTACAATTAGAAAATGTAAATAACAGTTACAAAAACACCAATTTGGACAACATGGATTTTAATTTATACAAAATTGAATATATTTCTGTGCAAAATGCAGTTAATTGTCCAAATGAATTAAAGAGTAAATATATAATATCAAACCATCTGAAGATGGAAAATGTAACAAAACCTATTGTCCCATTTGACGAAGGAAGTATTTATATTGATAATACAAGATTAATACCAACCATAGACACTAATATGGTTAATCCAGTGAATGCAAAAGGTAACAATGTACCTATTAAAATAAAAAAGCCTTTTATAATTGAAACAAATATTTTTACACAAATTAAAGATAAATCGCATACTTTAGAAATTAATGACAAAAATTCAAACAATGAAAATAATGATCCTGAAACTAAATTTATAACAGCAACTAATCAAAACAAAATTAAAATAAATGGTATAGATGTATTAAATAAACAAGTTAAAACGTGTGGCCAATGTTCAATGACATTTAGATACAAAAGACATTTGGATCGGCATTTGGAAGGTCATCAAAAAAATAATTGTTCTCATTGTAATGCAAAATTTGCAAGGAGAAAACACCTTGAGATACATTTATTTCGTTCACATGGAGAAAGAGCAACAAAGTATCCACATTCCTGTGATGTATGCTCTCGTAGTTTTCCTAAACGTACTTTACTAAATCGCCACCGAGCAAAACATAACTATGAAAATGGCAAGGTTTGTTCAGAATGCGGAGAAATGTTAAGAGCAGAAGATGACGATAAGGAACACAAAGAAAATCATTGTACAAAGAAGCAGTTCAAATGTAAAAGATGCTTACAAACATTTAGTATCGAGCAAACATATTTAATTCATATACAAAATCATGATAATCATAAATGCACAAAATGTGATGTTACTTTTGCATCTAAAAAGAAAGTACATGAACATTACAAAATGGTACATTCTTCAAAAATGAATCATAGTAAATTATCAAATAATGGTGAGTTTTTAAGAAGGATAACGAAAGATATATTTAATGTTTATAAGAAATCGTTATTTTGTAGGTATCTATTTCTGTGCTGATTGTAGACATACTTTTATTAAGAGGGATGATTATTCTCGTCATTTAGAGTCTACTTCGCATCTTAGTAAAATACACAGTGAAGCACTTCCAAGGGACACTTTTACTTGCCCAATTTGTTCCAAAAAGTTAATTTCACAAAGAGCACTTGATCAACATGTTAGACGTATACATAAGGGAGAAAAAAGATTTGCATGTAATATATATGGTTGTCCATTTCAGTGTGCAAGAAAATCAGACTTAGATAGGCATAAACAGTTACATGTAGAGCAAAGGAACATTGTATGTGAACAGTGTGGTAAAACTTTTACTAGTGTTAGTATTCTTAATGATCATGTTCTTTATGTACATAATAAAGAGAGGCAATTTATATGTGAAGAATGTGGTAAAGCATTTAAACGAAATAGTTTATTGAAGAGACATAAATTATCTCATCAACAATTTCGGCCATTTGTTTGTATGCAATGTAGCACTGCTTTTAAAAGATCGCATCATCTTACTCGCCATATGGAAACTTGTCACAGAATTACATTTGAAAAGAAGAAAAAGGTAAACTCAATTATATATTTCTTTCCTAAGATAATGCAAATTATTTCAAGGAAATGAACATTTACAATAACGTAATTTTCAACAGGTTGTAAAACTCATGAAAACAGAAGATGGCCTCCTTGTTCCAGTACCAGAAAAACCCAGAAAGCTTAAGCCTAAAAAACATACAATTAAAGGAGGATTTAATGCAGTTATAACATCAAATGAAAAAGTTGAATCTTCTGAAAATACGGACATCGTTAATGAACATTTTGATTCATGTTTGGAATTACAATCACTGCCTAATTCTGACGATCTCTGTGAAAATTCAACACTACCATTAGAACTTACTAATTTATTATCTTCAACAGATTCTACCCCTCATGTTCTTTCATTAGTAGATATTAATACAGAGCAGATTGTTACTGTAGAAGTTACTAGTCCAAAGACCTTAATAATGAATGATCTCGTAGATCAGTTTGATACAAATTGTACTGAAATATTGAATCTTAGTAGTTATCAAGATTTGGAATTTCAACATGGAATTTTAAATACGGATCAACATTTTTACGACCATTCAAATTATTCTGAATTATCATTAGGAGCTGTTGAAGGAACGTCATTTTTTGTAGATTCAAATATTAACAAGATAGATAATTTGCAGATGGAAAATTATTTAAATCAACCATTTCCATTATTTTTAAATCTTTAATCAAACCGAAGAAAATAACAACTGAAAACTTAAATCATGTATATATCGTATACAAAGTTGTATAAAAAATACCTTAAACTGCCTAAGTTACTTTAAATATGTATAATTAAAATTTTTTAATCAACAACGAACAAAAAAATGTGATACGTTTTATAATACTTAGCCTTCGTCGAAATTTATTATGCATTTAGTAAACTAAAATAATTGTAATTTTTGTTTATTTATAATTGTTTATATTAAATTTTATACAAAAAATGTATAATGTATAAATGGCATAAAAATTTAGTTGTTTTATCTTAAAAATATACTTTTTAATCAATACGTCTAGTATTTACTTTTTATTTATTAAATCCAAGAAATTTCCATTATTGCAATTAGCGTACATCGTTACATACAAAGGTTACAAACTGTTATAAACATAATGATACAACACGTACAGCACTTTTCCATATTATTAAAGGCAATACAGATATTTAAAGTACTCAAGTGAAACTCTTGTTGTATAATTAACTACATTAGTTACATCAGACAAAAGGAACAAATTTGTGATTGTGAATATTTGTAATATTAGGCATTCTCTTGGTTAGAACACAGATGACCGTATTCGTATTCAGTAAATGCAGATTATTGAGAAATAAAAATTGCATAATAATAAAGCTTAATTACGTTGTACCATTATTTTGTATTTAATAACACAATCTGTCCAATTCCATACTACCTTGATATCAGATCACATTTATATTATGTTTAAATTCAATTAACATTTATTAGCTACATCATTCTATCCTATTTAATAATATAAACAACCTGATTGTCTTTTATCTCAGACTAAAATATTTTCTTTATATACATAAAACTAAAAAGTATTCACATACTCTTTGCACATACATGATTGCATACATTTTACATATGTTTTCTATCGTTCATCTAGTATTTTCTAGCATCTACATACATATATCTTGTGTGGTTTTAGCATTAGATTATCATACATTTTATACATTTTTTAAAAATATTAACGTATATTTTATGTACTGTTTTGTTAATTTTGCACATAAATACGTATATTCTGCATTTATTTCAAGTTCTGCATATTTATATATGATGAAATGTGCATAAACATTGATAATCTAATCATTACTATACAAGGTAGTTTATGCAACTGCATATCTTGGTTAACTCCTATAGTATACATAATATACATTTGTATAAAAAAGTTTATATCAATTCTTTTTATAAGTACAGATGTTTTTGAAATTTCAAGGTCTACTTTGTTATTTTAAATGGTATGCCGTATTTCTTATAAAATAACGAAGTTAATTTTAAAATCTCCAAAATGCCTCTACCTAAAAAAGGAACATATGCATTGTGTAATGTGCTTTTTCGAGACATGCAACTTTTACATATTACATTTTTTCATATAATACATGCTTTCAGAGTTAATCAGGGTATACTTGTTGCATGAATTATCCTGTATATCTTTAATATTACAATTATTAATTAAACCACATATGACAAATAAAAGCGATTTAATGTTTTTTTTTCATTCGATTATTGATACTAAGACATAAATAGTTCGTATAGTCAACACGATAGTCAATATGAAGTATTATTATTTATTAATATTTTTATGTTTTGAGATATTTAATGCTGGAACATGTGTTATATGAACAAAATTTTACAGATATATACTTTAGATGAAATATATTATTCACAACATGTACATTCTTAATTTTATATTTCTTTCAACACCATGTATATTGTATAGTATGGTAATGTATTTTGAGGCACCAAGTTTTTACAGCTTCTTTGTTTTTATAGCTATATTAGTTTATAGACAATTGCAATAAAAAATGCTTAATCATATATTAGTACATTTTACAATATTTGTTTTAGGTATTATTTTTCAATTTCATTTACCTTTTAGGTTTAGTCTGTTTTCCTTCACGAAACAACTCTATATAGAAGTACACCCACTACTGCTGCAGTTGCTCCTCCAATTAAACTCCATGTAAGCTTTGATACACTTCCACTTTTATTTTCTTTTTTCATATTTTTTGAAACCGAATTGTTAATTTTAGATGTACCAAACATTTTACGATAGAGATTTTTCTCATGTTGAGCATCTTTAGCATTCTTTTCTTTTAAAATGGCTAGTTCTACTTGAATCGCTTTTGTTTCTGGTTCTAATTTTGCTGCCTGAAGTAATGTTTGATATGCCAATGCATGCTCTCCTTTATAATGCAAAAGTTTTCCTATAAATATATATTGTGTTTAGAATATGTAATTTATTATGTACTGTACCAAACATGATCTTTATTAATATTACCTTTTCTGAACAATGCCTTTACATTTTGAGGTTGACAACTCAAAACACTTTCTACACTTTTTAAAGCTGCATCATAAGCTTGTGTTTTCATTTGTGCAGCTGCTAAATTATTGTACACTTTCATACGATCCTCCAATAAAGCTTGCAATTCTGCATCAGTAGTAGAGTCTTCTACTTCATTTTGATAAGACGTACGACTTTCCATTGGTAATAAGAACTGTAATGCTCTTCGGTAACACTGAATTGCTAGTGTTGGTTCATTACGAGTAAACCACCAATTTCCGCGTTCTCGTTTGTTGTTGCTTTAAAATAATAAGAATATATAATTAACTGTTATTTCAAATACTATAAATGTTTTTACTAAATTACTTACCCGATTTCTTTTCGTTGATTAGTGCTAAGACTATCTATTTCTTCTTCTAATTCGATAGATTTCAATTCAACCATATACGAAATGACAGCATCAGGTGGTATGTTTGGTTGTTTTCCTAAATGACCATAAGCAAATCTTGGATCTACTTCAATTTCAGCAACTTCATCTAAATCCATAAGTGCAATTGCCAAGTCCAATCCCTATAATTAAAGATATAATTAATTAACAAAATAATTGAATTAATAACTATTATAAATTGTTATAAATGATGCATAATCCATTAAAGAGATAGTCAAGCCTCAACATTTTTTTCAAGATATGCTTTTACCGGGGAATAATTTTATTACTTGTAGTATGCATCATTTGAATACCATCAAATTATTATATTGTAATGTTATTTAGGTAAAATTTGTTTTTTTTATTCAATATGTTTAGAAAACTTTGATCCTTCTTAACAAAATGAAAGCAGCAGTTTTTTTAAACATTCTGCTTCTGAAACATGGAAGATATATCTTTTTAAATAATAGTTTTATCAACAAATATCTTTTCAGATTTCCTAAAAGTCCATGATATTTGCTATTTAAAAATCACATATTTATGTAACTAAATGAAATTTTAACAAAGCATTCACCAAATAACAAACAATAAAATATATCAATTTCAAGAGATTACAGTTATTTGTTTCTTAAGAATACAAAGTTAAAGACTCAACTATTTAGAAATTAAGAAATTAAGAAATTTAGAAGTAAATGGTATACAACACCTGAATCACTTCAACGTCACCTAATTGAATTTTAAGATCTTCGTATTCTTCAACTACTGTACCATCTTTTAGTTTGCCAGTAATTTTTAAAATACAAATGTCAGATCTGTTTGGTCGTGTTCCATTTTTACCCGGTTTTACAACTTTCTTTTTTAACTGTCCATTTCCTAAGATATCTATCCATTCGTCAGTTGGATGATCATTTAAAGCTGCCTCAGTCAATGGATCTTTTGGATCCACATCGAAATTTAGCTCTTCTTTAATGAAATCAGCTTGGGTTACTCCTGGTTGAACTGGTTCATCTTCCATCTTCAAGATTTCAATAAACTACTAAATTTGTATAAAATAGAAAATAGAAAAATTATAACGAAAAATGTTTAAAAAACTTTGCTCAAAGAAATTAATATAGATTTACGTTACATTGAAAAATAAAACACTTTTATCAAAAACTAATTTTATTGTAAATAAAAACAAAATTGAAATTCATAACAGTACTAGCTCATTTTCAATTCACGATAGAGAATATGTCATGTTTATCAGAAATAACAACGCTATTCACGTAATTATAAAAAATATTGATTGAAGTTGCTAACAGTGGTTAAAAATTTCGTATTTTATTTAAAAAATCGACAATGATTGACAACACGAAATATGCAATGAATATATAATCGACTGTAGAAAAATGCACACTCATTTGATAATCGCAAAATACGTGACATGTTAATTTATTATATTACAATACAATGTAGTTACTGTCTGTCAAATAATTGTTCTAAAAACAATACACACCTTCTTACTTTCAAACGTCTCAAGAACCATTAGAAATGTTATAAAATAATATCGTACTTCCGTTTATTTGCAAAGCATGCGACCATGCGATTGCATGCGATACTGTGCGACACCGGTTGGCTTCACTTATAACTGCTTATAACATGAAGTGAGCTGCACAAAGTACAAGATCGAAAATGTTCAATTGATAGTCGAATTTTCATCGAATTTACTACATTGTGATTATGTAATAAATCAGTGAAATTATTTGATTCTTTCATTTTACTGGAATAAGATTATGATCAAGTAACTGATTTTACTTTGTCTCTTGTAACTAATAAAATTTTAACTAACCACTAACATTAAATATAAAAGAAATTGTCTTGTTGATAACACCAAATAGTAAAGCTGAAAATAGTAATTCCTTTCTTATTTGACATTGACATGTGTGATTGTTTTTTACTTCGATAAAAACATTCCGACCTCACAAATGCTTATTTGGTCGTTTTATTACAACTGCTTCTGTATAATTTAACTATACAGGGTGTCCCAAAAATGTTGCAACACCTTGAAAGGGGTGGTTCAGGAGGTGATTTGAAACAACTTTTTCCTTAGCGAAAATGTTGTCCGAGGTGCGAAAACCCCGACCAATCAGAGCGCGCTCTGATTGGTCGGGGTTTTTTGTTAATATCTGCTTAACGAAGTCTCGGACAACATTTTCGCTAAGGAAACAGTTGTTTCAAATCACCTCCCGAAGCACCCCTTTCAAAGTGTTACAACATTTTTGGGACACCCTATATATCGGTATATGAATATATGTATATATACTAGGAACATCGGACTGCGCCGCCCCCAAAAATTTGAAGCCCCGGGCGGTTGCCCGACTAATGCCGGCCCTGTCTGTTCGTGGAAAAAGCAACTTGTTTGTGAGAAAACTTTGTTCGTTTGTTTCAACATTTATATTTGTACTTTAACGCGACACAATCAGATATAAAAGGTTGGAATTATGTCTACACGTTTGACAATACTTTATCGAAATATGTGGAGTCGTTTTCGGCTTATGACAGAACATTAATATTCAAACAAAAATTTTAAAAATATATTTTTTGAATATTTTTTTAATATGACTGGGCTAAATAGGCATAAAAATATAACAGATTGTAATAAAAAACAGAGTTAAAAAGATATCTCAGCAGATTTATCTGTATGCACAAATTATACCCCTCTTTGACCATACCTTGCTTCAACTTTCTATTAAATTTTTTTGATTCCGTCTTAGTAGAATTTTGTGTACGTTACTGCATAAGTGAATGTAACCAATCCAATGATCCCACATTTCTAATGTATGCGCACGCGCAAGGGATCCACATTCCACTGTGTTCCATTCAGACCATTCTGACCAATTCTGACAGAGCGCACTCCAGCTTTAGCGAGAAGCCTTTGTCCCGTAAACTCCTATTGAATTAAAGTCCCTTTATTAATAATGAAATTACTTTTATTAGTGGGTTTCGTGCTATCGGTCTTTAGTTCGAGTACTAATGCTGACGATAAAAAGGGCCCGAAAGTGACAGACAAGGTAAATAAAACAACTATAACGGTATATACGAAAATAGTAACAGACGCGTTAACAAAGAATATCTGTTTTCGTATAAAATAGGTAAAAATAAATTTTTCGAAAACAATTGCGACACTTTTATAGAATATTATTTTCGTGCTTTTTTTAAACGCTTTAACTTTCATCAATATATATTTTCATTCGTCTTTAACACGTACATATTGAACGTGTTAACGTACATATTTCAAGTATATTTATTAATATTTTCTAAATAAAAATAATATATAAAAAAAGGAATTGAACTCTGTCATAAATTTAGAAAATTCCAAAGCAATAAATCAATGTATGCGCATAGGTATGGTTTGATATCAGCATTGATGGCAAACCAGAGGGAAGAATTGAAATTGGACTTTTTGGAAAGACTGTTCCGAAGACAGTTCAGAACTTTGTAGAATTAGCTAAAAAACCTCAGGGAGAAGGATATAAGGGTAGCAAATTCCATAGAGTTATTCGTGAGTTTATGATTCAAGGAGGAGATTTTACAAAAGGAGATGGAACTGGAGGTTTGATTGTGGTTTTTTTTTAGAATATAAAATCGATATACCCAATTTCACTCGATATGAAATATTAACTTCATTTTATAAAATTTGTTTGTCTTGCATAATTTTATATTAAATATATTTTTTTTTAATTTTTAGGACATAGTATTTATGGAGCTCGTTTTGAAGATGAAAACTTCAAATTGAAGCACTATGGAGGAGGATGGTTATCTATGGCAAATGCTGGAAAAGACACTAATGGTTCTCAGTTCTTTATTACTGCCAAACAAACTCCATGGCTTGATGGTAGACATGTTGTTTTTGGCAAAATTATCAAGGGAATGGTATGTTACATTATTCAGACATATTATAATATTTTGTACATATTTTACATAAGAATAATTCTATAGGATGTTGTACGAAAAATTGAAAAAGTAAGTACCGATACTCGTGATAGACCAACAAAGGATGTTGTAATTGCTGATTGTGGAGCAGAAGTTGTAGCAGAACCATTCAGTGTATCTAAGGAAGATGCTACTGACTAAGCATTACATTTTTATTCTTTAAAGTTGATACTAACTGTGTTTGATAGCTACATATTAAAAGTACAACTTTTCTTACTTGAATACATTAATTTCATAATTCTATATGCCTCTACATTTGATTTAGTAGGAAAAATGTACTATTAAAATCTTTACTCTAAACATTGGTAGAAACATCATACACGTCAATATAATTGTTTAATATACTGTTGACAGTATTCATATATCATAATTCCTCAAAATATGTTTGAAATAAATAGAACAATTATTTATAATTATTTATGAAGATTCGGTACAAAATCTTTATTTTTAATATCTACTTCGAGACATTCAAAACGATCCATATACCTAAAACAGAACATACAGAGTTAAGAAAACACAAAATTGTATGAAAGAGAAGTTACCATACATTGTTATTGTATTCTAACTTGAATAAAAACGTACATTATGTCAGAATGCGCAATAAATTTTATATATGTATAATCGCATTTTTTAACGTAATAAATAAATATAATTTGTTTAAAATAATGTATTTTACTATTTTCCTTTTATCTGTTGTTGATTTTACTTTTTATGCGAGTAAAATACAGAGTATCTCATTAGATGCAATAATCTCTCGAATTGTAAGTCATTTAAAAAAGTGTTTCAAAAGGAATGTCTTTACAAATCTCTATATATATTTCCTTTTTTTTTAATGAAACTGTTTATATGAGCATGTAATCCATTTCGAGACAAATTCAATGACGTACAACACTTTGACGTTTTAAGATTATTCAAAATTATTTAGTGTCGTTTAAAATTTTCCTTTGTTATACAGTGAGAAATTGTATCTTCGGTGTCGTCGCAAATATACTCAGTACCTCACAAAACATGAAATTCGTGATTTTGAATAATTGTATTAAGACTTTTTCAACACCAAAATCATATTTACAGTTTCAATGCATAATACTAATATAATTAAAAATGATATTTCATATCATTGGTTATTTCAGGTTACTTCGGGTTATCTTTATGACCGAATTGAAATACTTCAGTAATGGAAGTCTTGAAGGTAACAATGGTCAATTTCGAACGCTATTAAATGACCTTAAAAAACCAAAGTATTGTAGATCAATGAATTTTTTACGGAATGGGCTGAAGCTCATTTACACTACAATATGACTATTTATTTGAATAAAGATATTTAATTCTATTAAAAAAAAAAAGTGCCACCTTGAAATCTTGAAAACATGTGTACCTAGAGAAGATTGGTGACCATCATAAAATCCCTCCCTCGAAATAGTCAATGTTTTATTTTAAACTATTTTTAAAGTTTTGAATTATTTTACCCCCATTGTGTAACACTCTGTATAACAGGTGCATTTTTACATGAGTATTATACACAGGGCCGACGTTAGGGGGCGGTCGGGCAACCACCCGTGGCGCCAGATTTTTGAGGGCGTCGCAGTCCGGTGTAGATTAGTAAAGCTGTTATATATTGTAGTTTTAACAATCTTTACAATCTAGCTACAGATTCATCGTTTGATATTATTACCTTGTCTTCTTTTCTTAAAAATTTTAAGCCTCTGGAGAAGCGCCAATATTGCTAAAACCGGCCCTGATTATACACTAGTATGACATTCTCACAAATCTCATTGTCTCAATTACAGATTATCAAATCAATTTTACTCGATGCATGTTCGTTATACAGGGTGAGGCATTTAGAACAGGCCACCTGAATAATTTGATTATTTTTAGTAGTAGAAAAAGAAAAGTGCCAAATAAGAGTCGTTTGATTTCGAAGGGGACGTAACGTGGTATCAATAATTTTTTTATTGGCGGATGCGATAGGTGATAGAGTCTCAAAAAATTCATATGTATTTTGCAATAACAGATGGACTGCCGGTTAAGTGCAGGGCAATCTGAACAGGGCCGGTGAGGGGGGGGGGGGGAATCGCTCGGGACGCCAGATTTTTGGGGGCGCCGCAGTCCGGTATCCCTAGTATACCAATACACCGATATACAGGGTGTCCCAAACACTTGGAAAGGGGTGGTTCGGGAGGTGATTTCAAACAACTTTTTCCTTAGCAAAAATGTTTATCGGAAAACACTGACCAATCAGAGCGTGCGTAGCGAAGGCTATGCGCTAAGCGGCCGCGCTCATTACCGCGGGCGCTCCACCAGTATACTCGCGCTCTGATTGGTCTGTGTTTTCCGTTAATATCTTCTCAACGAAGCCTCGGACAATATTTTCGCTAAGGAAAAAGTTGTTTGAAATCACCTCCCGAACCACCCCTTTCCAGGTGTTACAACATTTTTGGGACACCCTGTATATACCCTTGAAGGGACGCCACGATAATCTTGGCCGGGGCGCCAATATCGTTAAAACTGGCCCTGCTTCTACAATACTGCGGTGTACTATCTACCTCGTTATCATTCGTGTGCATTCGTGATCATTAACATGCAACTTAAATATGTCGATTACTCTAACTTATTTTTTTCTTTTTGATATTACACTATTGTTTTATACAACAACATGATACAACTACTCCAAATCAAAAGTAATAAATGAGAATAACATCTTTCTCATTTTATTCAAATTCACTTCAACTAATGAGTTGCCTCCCTCGTTGAAGTTATTTAAATTTTAGCTTATTCTGCATAACAGTGTAAGATCTGATATTGAAGCTTTAACATTCAGAAACATGATTCAAATTCGTTCTGTAGTAATTTATGGTACATCTTTTTTATTTTTGATGTTACTCTTTTTACTGTACATACTTGGAGCTGCTCGTTATGTTACGGATTTTGAAGAAAATACTTGCGACATGACATATATGTTTGAATATCCACAGTATGTGGTAGGTAAACATAATATGAAATTTTTTGTAATTAAAAATATTAATAAATATTATCTTATTTTATTTTAACTCTCTTCGTAGTTAGATTCCTCTCAATTGTTATACGAACTGTACTAATTATATAACACCGTTTGAAAATGATTATATCCGGAACAAATCAATAATTTGAACTGTCATAAATATTATTAAAAAAAACACCATTAATAATATCTTCATTGACAATAATAGTAATTGGTTTCGGAAATGAACAAAAATTGTGTACACTTTATACACTAAACTTAATTCAAAATAATTTACTAATTTTTTTGTTACTGTTAATTGATTAACTTGAACTTAAGAAAATAGTTAAAAAACCACTAATTATAATTATCTATATCATTATTCATACTTTTATGTTATAAAGATTGTGACTTTACTACTTGTATTGTACTATGCATTCATATAATTTATAAAATTTATTATTAATATTAGAGAGTATCCTTGGATAATGAAATAGAAGAACAATATCCTAGATATGGATTATATGCGTATGGAGAAGGTTTTATTACAGAAAAACTTAGACGAATGTATTTCACTGGAATACCGATACTTTTCATTCCAGGAAATGCTGGATCTCATGAACAAGGTTTTTTATAATTCATTTGTAGTATCATTTGTATCTTAGATGTAACTTATTTTTAATATATCTTTTTTTTAGTTAGGTCTCTTGCATCTGTGAGTTTAAGAAAGAGTTTAAAAGATAGGACTCCATTTCATTTTGACTATTTCACCGTGTCATTAGGAAAAGATTATTCTGGCTTATATGGAGGTATAAATTATAGCAGGCATATATTTTGAGTAGTTTAAGTATTTGTTAATTATATTAAGTAATAATTTCTTTACAATAGATTTAATAACATTTGAGTATTAATTATTAATTTATTTATTAATCCAAGGTGTACTAATGGAAGAAACTTTGTATGTTTCGTATTGTATACAAAAAATTTTAAGTTTGTACAAATCCAACATAGAGAATATTGTACTTATTGGACATTCAGTAGTAAGTATAGAGATAGTGTTCCTATTATAATGATGACATTAAGATGTACTCTGTCCTTTTAGGGAGGTATTATAGCTAAAGGTTCTGTCTTATTAACACCAAATATAAATGCTAGTGTTGCAAGTATTATTCTTACTTTGGCTACTCCTCATACACCTTCGTTAGTACTAGATAGTACTTTTGCTAGTTATTATTATAACTTGGAAAGACGTTTAAGTCAAATTAAGGATGCTGGAACAACTATGATATCAATAGGAGGTGGACCACGAGATACACTGGTGACCTCAACACAAATTGTAGACTCTACATCTGATATTAATATCCTTTCTACCAGTATACCAGATGTCTGGAAATCTACAGATCATTTAAGTATACTCTGGTGCAAACAATTAGTGTTCTCTATTGTGCGTTTATTATTTGACTCTGTTAGTATTTCTCAAAAGTCTCCTAAAATTTCTTCCAAAATTGATGAGAGAATGCAGGCTTTATCGTATCATCTTTATCATGTAAGAAACTATATTAACTAAGAAACTATATTATATATTAGATATATGTGTTATACAATAGCAATACAATATTCCTAACATTATTAATTTTACAGCGTTCTTCTGGAAAGAGATTATATCATCACAAAGAGATAGTAGAATTTGAACCTGGTGGTGAGTGGATAGAAGATATTCGAAGACATTATACATGGAATAATAAAAATTTATCTAAAAGGACATCCCCTATTTATCTCATGATTAGATTTAATGGACAAAAAGATCATTTAACTATTGACACTGTGAACTTAGAATCGAAAGATTGGTTGTTTGCATGCACAGCATCTATCATACAAGAACAATCCAGAGTTTGGTAATAATCCTTGTTTTCTCTTTTTTTTTTGTAAAATATTCAAGCCATTGTGTTGTTATTACAATATTCTTTCACAATTAACTGTGTTTATTAGTAACTGGGGCTGGAACTTGACGAATAGAACGAGAATGTTGCCAGATCCTTTACACCGTTTAAGAAAAACTGTTGACTTAAATCTACAGGAAATAAAGTATCCTGGTGTAACACATATTATAGTAAGAATTACTCCAGATAATTTTGAAAAGTATGTTGCAGTAAACATCGATATGTATTCTTACGATACAAGACTTATACCCATTATGGGCAGTGTACCTCTGTTGAACAATTTTTATGTAAAACAGCAAGCAAAAAAATCTGATATTGGACATATCAGATATTATATTACTTTTGATAATCCTATAAATGCTATAACAGTTGAACTTAAAGCATCTGAATGTATAGATCCAAAATATCAAACAGTTGTTGAACTATCTGAACCATGGAGTATTGGCATTACGCAAATTCAGTTTTTTACAGATGTGTAAGTATATTGCGGGATACAAATTTTAAAGTTACAAAATGCTAAATAAAATGATTAATATTTTAGGGATAATGGTCCAAAAACAATGAAACTTCAAACCAAATATAAATATTCCGACGTTTTTCCAAGTTTAAGGATAACTTTTGATCCTGTATGTTCCTATACAATTACCATTCATGAAAGTGGTATCATAGATAAAATTTCTATTATCGTAAGAGATCGCTGGTATCTTCTATATACAACGATTGTTAGTTTACTTTTAATATTTTTATCGATACGAATCGATCACAATCATGAACAAATACCAATACTACTGGTGACAATATTTTTATCATATTATTATGGCCTAATGTTCGAATGTTTAATTGCTTTGGCAATTCTTTGTGTATTTGCCATTGGACTATGCTGTACCATTATATTTCTTGGTTCAGTAGCACACAGTATTGCTGTTAGGTAAAAATATTTAATTATATACCTGAACTATATTAATTAAAATGGGATTAATCAATTTTTTATTAGGTTTCTAGCACGCGCAATAGCCTTTTCAACAACATGGTCAGATTGGCTACTTGGAGGATTAAATCAGTTGCCACTTATTACCGCTATTCTTGTTTTATCTTTAATTCCTGCAACTTGTGGAGCTTTAGCTATGTTAATTTCAGTTTTTCTATACTTTTTAAATTTAACAAGAATATATGAAGACTATTTGGAAGAATTGTTAATGGCTTCATTACAACATTTTAACTGGATGGGACGATTTAAAAGTATAAAAGACCCTAAAGAACATGAAAATACAAGACAAAAAATATTCAATCATCTTATTCTGTTTTTTCTTTGGTGTTTTACTGCTATTCCAGCTATACCATCTGTACTTGTTTGGGCGAAGAATTTCAGGTTTGTATTCATTTGTACATTAAAAATTCTAATTATTAATAATAAAATTCATGTTATTTTAGCGTGAAGAATGTCGGTATAATTATTCAAGATTATTAACAACTTGTTTTCACATTGTCATTCTAATTTGTTGAGAACAGAAATACGTGCTTGATTATTTATCATATTAGATTTGTTTTATATTTGTTTCAGTTATGATATGAGACTTTCTACTGAAGATCCTTTATTATATCAAAGCTGGATAGTTTTAGTAGCATGCAGTACATCCGGATGGTTACAAATTCCTCCTAATTATCTTGGAATTCGATCACGAGTATTGGCTAGCGCATTATATTTCTTAGGTTGGATTGTACTTTTAATGGGAGCTGCAACGCGCCCAACCTTTTATCAATATTATATCCCACCTATCGTCGCTGGAATTACTAGTCTGATTACATTAAATTTCATTATTCCATCAAATATAGCTCACTGAAGACAAATTTATTAAACAAATCTCAAACACATGAAGCCTATGTATATTGCATATTGATGTTGTGTTTATACATTGTGTATAATACATGTTGTTTGTACAAGAATAATTGATTTTTGAAAAATGAAACTAGACGTAACAAGAAATAAGATTGTATGATAGGTGTACTAACACAAGTAAACATTTTAAAACATCTAAATTAAGTTATACTTTCTTTATCACAAATTAATATTATCATTTTCTAAATGAGAATAATTGTATAAAGAATTAAAAATTCTTTTGTATATACAAAAAAAGAAATATACAAGAATAATATATATGACACACTTTATTTATTATTTATGAGAAAGAAAGATATACAATTGTAGCATATATGACACATATCACCTAATAACCTATTTAAGGGTACTGTGCTGTTTTTTTACCTTTAATACATAGACATTTAAGATTTAAGAGAACGCTTATAAAGTAAATTTTTTTATTTACTTAATATTCTTAATAAACTTTATGATAATAATGAATTGAATACACTAACTTAAAGTAACAAAAGTTTGACTTGAATTTTATACAAATGCATTATCTATTTACTATTCATAATGTAATGATACGTATTTTTGTGTAATTTAATAGGACCCAGAAATAATCATAAGATAGCTATTTATCATACAAATATGGCAGTAATCTAACTATATATATTAATAATGTAATGCCCACTCATTTTCTTGAAGGAACGTGTCTACTACTTCTTTCATTGCTAAGTTAGGGATCAGCTGATCTTGAGTTAAGCGTACTCTAGTAACTGGGTCAAAGTGTCCTACCCTTTGCAAATGTTCTTCAATGTCTTTCCGTTCATATGTAATTCCACTTGGTGTAATTACAGGTTCTTGCAAAATCTCAAAACTGATTTTTCCACATAAATAATCGGGTACTTCTCTCTTCTACTCAATGCATTCATAGAAATCACAAATTTAACAATTATTTTTATTTATATCTGATTAAATAATTTAATATGAATTAAAAAATATAAACTCACCCTTCTTCTTTCATCAACTTTTGCAAACAAATCATTAAGGCGAGCCATACATGTATCTCTTTTTTCTTCTATATCTTCCTTTTGTCTTGTAAATTCTCCAGATATTGTTTCTCCTTCAGTTTTATCACTTGTATCTTTTGTTGTTTCCTGTTCTTTCAAAGCAGCTAAGCTTCGTTCGGCATCTTCTACTATCAATTGATTCAAGTATGATTGTAGTTCAATATCTTGGGCAATTCTTTGTTCTTCCCTTAATTGAAATCGACGTTTCCGTGCTTGTCTTAAAATACTGGTCATATCATCTCCATAATTTAGTTTTTGCTCCTTTGCCAAATCCACAGCTATGCCGTTGTTTGAAGTCAGTAATCACATGAAGGACAAGTTTCAGATTCGTAAAAACCATGAATACCATAAAAAAGAATATTCACAAAATATTTCCATATAGCTACATTCTAATAATATTGCTATTGTAGAATAATATAAAACAAAAAGCAATTTTTAACAATAGAATGTAAACTATTTTTAAAAAACAATAAACTTACATAAATTCGGTGCACTATGAAACTAATTATATTAGTATGCATGTAATGTAGTTCCCACCCCTCTTCAGAAAATATAATAAATTATTGTGATTTTCAATTTGTAATATTTATTTTAGTAGTATCATTAATATTAGATTCACGACATACAAAAAATATATTAAACAAAATTGTTAATAAAATGTACAATCATTTTATAAAAATAATGAGACAATGATGAATCACTTGTCAACAACTAAATTCCCTCAAAACAACTAGATTACATTAGATGTTTTTCAGTGTCTGGATCTATTTTGATCTATGTTTGACTTTAACTGTTAAATCAATTAAATACTCTAAATGACATTTGTTTGTATAAGAACAAGAACAAAATGATCATATATTGAAAGATTGCATTTTCTAGCAAAATGCAAGAAAGAGAAAATGTATTTGTATTCACTAAAACTATTTTATTACACATTGTATATGAATTCTGGTTAAAAAATGTCATATTACAATATCTGAATGAGACAAAGTCGATAAATAAAGTTTGCTTCACTAGTAATTTCATAGGAGATACAAATAATTATAATGATAATACTTTAGAACTCAAATAGCATATTAAATTGTTTAAAAAAGGTTTTATTTATCTAATTGATGGAATTATAAATGTTATAATAGTTATAATTGTATAAATGTGGTGATCTCCTTGATGAAGTATAGAGCAACTGTCAGATGGCCAAGAAGAATTAAAGATTGATTGTTATTTCCTACAAATTGTTTATCAGTGATCAGTTTGTTTAGAGAGTCAAACCTTGGTCAAAACTCATGAAACTTGAACCTCTATAGCATTACAATTTGGTTTATTCCCTTCCACTCATCTGTGGAAATCTTTACAGATCGAAATGTAATCTAACTTTATTATTTAACTCAAATTATTTGTCATACATTTAGGTGCATTATTTTACCTTTGCAACTTGAATTTAAAGTTGCCTGACCTCTGTAAGTTAAACTTTTATTATCCATGTTTCTAGTAGTTGAAACTTACATATTAGCCATTGGAATGTTCTACAAACTTTCATACAAAGATGTAAGAAATATTGAAGAAAATGTATTCTCAGCATTAGTTCCAATTAACACATTAACGTAGAATAAAATTTTTGAAATAATAACGAGTAATAACCTAACATGATTTATGATTATGTTTATATGTATGTACTCGTTACATATTATATTATGTATGTATTAGGAGTGTGCAAGTCCGACCCGAGTATCGGGCCCCGCTCGATCGATCGGGCTAAGATAAGGTCGAGCGTGCTCGAGCGGGTCCTCGAGACATGCGAAGTCTCGAGCGGCCTGGGCGTGTCGGGCGGCCCGGGCCCGATAAGACTCGAGCTGCTCAACTGCCTCGCCCGGCTCGTAACTCTCAACATTTTAAATTATTTTATTAAAACAAAAAAAATTAAACCATCAATAAATTAATGTTACTAATAATTAAATATGAAAGAGATTTTCAAAAGCTACATAAAATAATTTTTTGAAAAAAAATTTAACCGACTTCGAAAAAGGTGCAGTGAAAAGCATGAAATAATTTCTATTTAAACTTCATTGTTATTCACCGTCGTTTGATGAATTTGGTTAAACCATTCAATATCATTATATTAAATGCAATGCACATTTTTCGGAGGCGGCGCAGATGTAAAAAATTTTTAATTCCGGTTTGGGTTAGCTTTTAGTAGAGGCGGCAATATTGAATGCTATCAATGTATACATGTTTATTGTCTATGTGGAATTAATAGTTAATGTATATAGTATGTACACGGAAATATATATTTGGTTCCGGGGAGTGGGGCGATTTGAAACAATTTTTTCTTAGCGAGAATGGTGTTCGAGGCTTCGTTAAGGAGATATTCCAGAAACAAAAACCCCCGACCAATTAGAGCGTGAGCCGATGCTACCGCAGGCGCTCCACCGGCATACTCACGCTCTAATTGGTCGGGGGTTTTTGTTTCTGGAATATCTCCTTAACGAAGCCTCGAACACCATTCTCGCTAAGGAAAAATAGTTTCAAATCAGCCCCCCAAAACACCCCATTCAAGAACATCCAACATTTTTGGGACACCCTGTATTGTTGCAAATGGGATTATTAGGAATACATGTGAAAGGATTGATTGCGTTTGGTAAATTCCTTATTGAGCTACACCAGAGCATAGCAATTTTGCACCAACAATGGTTTCAAACAATGGAAGTGTCCATACATTTTTGCAAATGGGAACATCACGAATTCATCTATCATGAAATGCGGAAAATTCCATCTCGATCGGTTAATTCCGTGCCGAGTTTCAGTAAAGAAAAGGAATTTTGCAATAGTAATAGTTATAAACAATTAAAAAATTCATAAATTTTTGGAAATGTGATCATCGCGAAAACCTGTACGGCAGCAAAATGTAAGGGATTTCATCGATTTCAGGCCAAACATCCGTGGAATAGTACGCTCTTTGCGATATAAATGCAAAAAGTGATATAAAGTGGTAAAAAACAAACTAAGGACAAATGTTTTGTTATGGGACCAAATGGCAAATGCTCTTCTAGATGCAAGAAGTTTCAATCTGATTGGTCCATCCGTCTCGGAGTAAGAAGCAAGACAAAATTTTTCTGTTTTTTAAAAAAAACGGCTAAAAAATTACAAATCACAAAATGTTTCTTTTACGCGACCAACTGGAAGAAATATTCGACAAGATGCAAGAGGTTTCACTCCGATTCCTCAAGCCATTTCGACGTAATCGGCAAGCATACCTAAAAATCACGGTTTTTTGGTAAAAAGACGGGTAAAAAATGACAAATCGCAAAAAGTCGTGATAATGGGACCATCGGGGGGGCATGCACTACAAGATGCAACAGGATTCATTCCGATTGGTCAAGCCATCTCGGCGTAATCGGTGAACAGACATTAGAAAAAAAAAATATACATGTCGAATTGAGTAACCTCCTCCTTTTCGAAGTCGGTTAAAAATGATACATAACACTTGCATACAAAGTAATTGTAACGACTTCAAAATATTGCATAATCTGAAACAACTTAAAAAATGAAAGAACTTTTTATTCATTCTAATAACTTTACACTTTACACCACAACTCAATCGCCTTAACGACATTCATCGAGTATCGGCAGCAACTCATCCGAACTACAATCTTTTACGAACTCGTCCGAACGAGTTACGAGTTACGAGCCTGGCGAGGCAGTCGAGCAGCTCGAGACTTCGCATGACTTCGGGGACCCGCTCAAGCCCGCTCGACCTTATCTTAGCCCGACTCGAGCCCGAATGTCGGGCGGCCCACACATGCCTAGTATGTATACATATGCAATTTGTAATTTATTTCCAAGAATTGAATATTTCTTTGTTTGTTGAGCTCTTATAAGTAAAAAAATATTAATCCTTAACGAAGCCGGTACGAAGTCTCAATATGACAAATTTTCTTTAATTAATTCTCTCTTATTAAAAACTTTGATAAAACTAAATCTCCATAGCTCAAAGATATTAGCTCTTCCCTTGAGGTTCAAGTCACGGAGGTTGGACTGTATATGCTTTTAATTAGATCCATTTTAGGAGATGGCATAGTAAAAATTCATGAACACCATTACTAAAATCCAGCCTAGTGTATTAACTAGATACACAGTATGGAAAAATAACATTCTTTGCATATATTGCCTAAACGTTGAGTAAACGTTACAATATTTCTGACATTCATTCACTTGTTTAAAGAAAGAAAGTTTACTAGCACCAAAGCTTAGCACAAAACATGCAGAAGAAATATTTTAGAAAAGATCAGGATTGATCCAAACACTGTTATATTTTAATATCCTATGCAGGGATTGAAATAAGAGTAGAATTTCGGAATAAAAATGTAGGTGTGTACCTCTTTGTAAATGTTTAACAGCTTCATCAAAGAGTTCCAATTCCAGAAGTGCAAGACCCAAAAAAAAATGACCTTTTACCAAACATGGATCAATATCAAGAGCACGTCTGCAGTCTTGACAGGATGATTCCCATCGTTTCAATTTTAAATGACACAACGCCCGGTTCGTAAAGTATAACGCTTGGGATGGATTTTTAATCTGCAGGAATGAGATGCAGTGTCGTAACTTGCCTGCATAGATTCGTAGTGACACTCACAATTGCTTTGGTGTAGCAGTACGCAGCATCCTCGTATTTGTGCAGATTGAAAAGACGATTTCCTTGCTCCTTTAACTCTTTGTCGGAGTGGTTGGCGGTTGTGTACATCTTACTCATCTTGACAACAAATTTACTGTTGCGGTGATTACTTTCCTACATACAGTTAGTGTAATAAGTATTCGTACAGGAACCTATTCAAAATAAAACTTCACATATTTATTTCATTAATACATTTTAGGGAAAGAAATAATTACCCAACATTCCTACATATTTTTAGAGTAGATTTTGCGTAAATCAAAGTTTATTATTTTTAATGTTAATCTCTTATTTCTATTCTTATTAGTTTCTATTTTAAATTGGTTGCTGTACGAATACTTCTTACACTGACTGTAGGAATTTTCGTGAATTGACGCACTTATTTCTTCTCGCAGGAAAAAATCGGTTAAATCGTTAAAAAATCAACCAATAAAATGGTATCATATAACCTTAAATAAATATATATTCCACTTTCCTTATACACTTTGCACTCATTGACCAAATTTGGACTAAAGTGAGACAAGGAAGTACATAAACAAAGCTGAAGGAAGCTGCGTTTGGGGTAAAGCTGCGTCCTCAAGAAATGTTTCGAACAAAAATATTTTGATAAATATTCAGTGCGTAATATTTTCTAATTTTCATCTAAATCTTCGTATGCTACACAATTTCATATAATTGAGTTTTAATTAAAAAAAATTATTTTCCGTTTTCTTACATATATTTTTCTACCAAAAACTACAGTTGGCAGTATGTAAGACAGAATTTTATTTTATATACAGGGTGTCCCAAAAATGTTGTAACACATTGAAAGAACTTTTTCCTTAGCGAAAATGTTGTCCGAGGCTTCGTTGAAGAGATATTAACGGAAAACACTGACCAATCAGAGCACAAGTATGCCGGTGGAGCGGCAGCGGTAGCGTATGAGCGCTCGACTCAAGCGTAGCCTACGCTTAACCGGCATACTCGCGCTCTGATTGGTCAGGGTTTTCGCTTAGTATCTCCTCAACGAAGCCCGGACAACATTTTCGCTAAGGAAAAAGTTGTTTCAAATCACCTCCCAAACCACCCTTTCAAGGTGTTACAACATTTTTGGGATACCCTGTATAACGAGTTATAATTTGTCACGTCCATACAAAAATAATACATACCAATTTATTAATACTGTTAGTAAATATATAATTCAGTCAACGATTAAAAAATATAGGTATATTTTTACATATCACATACTATAAGTATTACGTAAAAAATAAATACATTCTATTTCCATCAGTGAAAGTAGTATTCATAGTATTAAAAAGGAGTGTGCACTAAGAGAATCATAAAACTGTAAGTACATTAGACATATATATATAGACATATGTAATTTTGTGTGTAAATAATTTAAAAGGTTATTTAAAAACATTTAGCATTCATATGATATATATATATAAAGTGATTAAATTATTCTGGTAACTTAATTAGAGAAGTTGCCTATTTGTATAGATTGCATTTGCATCTAGTGAATTTATTACTTCTTCATTAAAATTCAATATATGCTATATACATATAGATATATTTTTTTAATGAGGAAGAAATGAGGACATGAGCATGCTATATAGTTTAGATTATTTCTTTTTTATTCTCTATATTTATTCAAAACGCCTATTTTAGCTCTATTTATTTATTTTCTAAAATAAATACAATTTTGTATTGCCTTATACTTCATACAAGTTATAAATATATATACAATAAGTTATTCACGTATGTAGTTAATTTATTCCAAAGCTGGCAACATTAGTTTAATTAAAGTTAAATAACTTTAAGAGTGTGTAATGCAAGAACTTGTTGTATTTCAATTTAAGTCTGAATATATGATCTGATTATTTTGTTAATGAACACGATTGTTCTTTATCAATTTTTGATATACTATATACAGATATAGGCTTTTTCAAAATAGGATGAACTGCGTACTCTACAGTAAGTCCCATTCTGTGCTTGCAGAACTCCATCATTTTTTTTGCAATTAATTTATTATTTCCATGTACTTCTGAATGTTCCATGTAATCATTGAACTGAAAAAATAATAAAAAGTAGTGGTAATAGGTAAAAAATTTGTAAATTTATATTCAGCATACAGAAATGACTATATTACCACAAATACATAGATAGTCTCAATAACTCTAGTAATTTTGTGGGGGTATGTGTAAGTTTGTTGAAAGTTAGTTTTCAATGAAAATTGTTACCTTCATCCATTTACATTCAGAAATTTCTCTATTACATTTTTTAATGTCAAAATTAGTAGGAGACAAATAGAAAACTATATATATATCAGAACAACCAAATACAAAATCATGGGCGTGTCTGAAACCTATTAAACATTTAAAAGTAGTTTGAATACCAGTTTCCTCTAAAACCTCTCTTTTCACAGCTACCTCTAAATCTTCGCCTATAATAACAAAAAACTATTATCATATGATAATAAATTTTTTAATCAATGATAAAATTATCTACCTGGTTCTACATAACCACCTGGCAATTTCCAGAATGGTACTTTCTTTGTATATTTTTCTTTAATAACTAAAAGCTCGTTAGTTTTCTCATTATATACAAATGCTCCAACACCTAAATTTGTATGTGCATAATGTGGTACATTGCATTCTTCATCAGTAACTAACCACCGATACAGTGTAACGTATTCTTCTCGTGCATGGTGGAATTTAAATCCTTCCTTTACAAGTATCGGTACCCATTCAGTATGTGGTAAATAAACATGAAACCATATTGTGCGTTTCTTGTCTTTTATCCACTCTTGTAAAGAAACTGTAATAAATTCATACTTAAAATTCAAGCGCTAACTCTTAAATAATAATTTTTGTACTGAATTTTGTTAAATGTTATGAGAAAGTTAATATTTAAACATTGTTAAAAAAGAAAGCATTTTCCAAATTTTTGATATAAGTATTATGTTACCCACCTGTAAGACGTTTAGCAAACACATCAGGGGTGCAAGATTCTTCATTTGAATCGACAGTTACGCCGTTGTAATGGTCGTCGTGTCCTTTAAACCTTACCAAAGCCATAGAAACGGAAGTTTGAGTACAATGTGTTGTGTAATAAAATACTGGGAAAAAACTTGACCGCGGTTTAGAAACAAATTGTTTTCGGCTTAGTATCGTGGCAACGTGACAAACTTTGGACGTTACAGTACTATGCATTGGAACAGCTACGAATCTATACAAATAACCCACATTTTTGCAAATTTTTCGATTAAATGTTTCACCGTAAATAGTTTTCCGATCTTGTCTTGGAATGATGGATAAACACTGCTGGAAGTCCTTACGTAACACGAATCTAAATTCATTTATAACGATATCTCCGATATTAATTAAAACACATTGCGACATTCTAACCTTATGCTGTCATTATAAAATGGTTATCGATAAATAAATAGTATGTTATGTGATTTATAGTGTAACAGTTTTTTGTATACATAATTAATTAATACTACTCAGAATATGTTCGACATATATATTAAATATTGTATATTTATGTAGCGACACAATTATTATATCGTGTTGGATCGTGAAAAATATTTTGAAAATCTGACGAATTATTTCTAACATATTACAGACTAAATATTTTGTTACACAACTTGTACATTAATGTAAACATAGTTAAAAATGACATCATTTTTATTATAAGATGAAACTTGTTATATTAGGTAGATTGGAAAGTAATGTCGTTTCTTTTACATTAAATTCTAATAGATTTTTAATAAATTTTTATTTTTAATCAGTTATACAATCGCCATCGTTATCAACAGCCTTTTGTCATCTATTGTGTAAATTTTCATTGCCAGATCGATAAAAATCAACGAGTTGAGTGATAAACAAGTATTTAAAAACGACGTTACTTTCTAGTCCAACTAATATTACATAACTTGATGTTATTATACATCAAATTAAATATACATAAATTTATGCTTGCACATTACACAATAATACAAGGTAATAAAAACATGTGCAATTCAATTCATATAGGTCCTTGATTTGACAAATTATGTAGCAGATGGTTAAATATAAATGTGTTTTAAACATTTTAACTCTGTAATATCTAGATTCTCTGTACAACATCATAAAAAACATAATTTAGTCCAAAAATCTTTTTATTACTTTAGATTAATAGTTGTAATTTATTGTTTTATTGAATATGACCCACATAATATAAAATCGAAACGTTTAAAATACATACATTTACATTTAAACTGATGCTTGTTTCAAAATAATTTGTCTTTTATTGAATTTATAAGTTAGGGCCAATTTATCCATTAATAATTAGTGAAACTACATTTTATACCTATTATAGTACATAATACTGTATCTGTGAAATTAAAGAGGGAAGGATTCATGCCAATTTTTGAATATAATTAATTCTTCATTACAGTAAGTATTATCAAAACTTGTGGCACAAGCATTGTTAATAATTGAGTGATTTAAAAAAGATGTTCAATTCATTCATGATGCACATTGACTTATTTGGTAGTTGTAGTATTAACTTAATGATGTTATGTTTCTTCTTATTTGATCATAGCTTCATGCTGTCTCATATTGGAATTAGTAAGCACATGTTCTTTTTATATTCATAGTGAATACTGCGACTACTAATACTGCGTTCTTTAAAAAGAATGATTACAAAAGGTAGTTTAAGATATTAGGATGAAAATGTGTTGAGATATTGGAATTTGGAGCCATAGCTAAAAAGAGAAAAAAAACAGAGGTCTTCTTGTCAACGTTAACTCTTCATTCAATTCAATTCACTCAGCTTTCAATTATTTTCTTATAATATTTTATCGTTAATAGTGTTATATAATATATAAATTGTATAAGTGCATAATATAACAGCTGTATACGTTTTATAAACTCGTAATACACGGGGTGTCAGAATTAGTGTAAGAACCGGAAATGAGGGGTAGCTGAGACGTTTCTGAACCACAATTTCCTTTACAAAAATGTCGGATGGTGCTTCGTTTTTTAATTATTAACGAAAAACCACCGACCAATCTTCGGTTTGTAACGGTTCTTACACTAATCCTGGGACACCCTGTATACAGTGTCCCAAAAATGTAACACCTTGAAAGGGGTGGTTTAGGAGGTGATGTAAAACAACTTTTTCCTTAGCGAAAATGTTGTCCGAAGCTTCGTTAAGAACATATTAACGAAAAACACTGACCAATCAGAGCGTGCGTAGCGAAGACTATGCGCTAAGCGGCCGCGCTCATACGCTACCGCGGGCGCTCCACCAGTATACTCGCGCTCTGATTGGTCTGTGTTTTCCGTTAATATCTCCTCAACGAAGCCTCGGACAATATTTTCGCTAAGGAAAAAGTTGTTTCAGATCACCTCCCGAACCACCCCTTTTAAGGTGTTACAACATTTTTGGGACACCCTGTAGAGCTAACTCAACAGCTAATAGCTTGACTGCTACGGCGTACGCGTTAGTAGATAAAGATAGATACGGTACAGCGTACCGTACATTTCCATGTATGTCTCTCCTATTTTATCTATAATACCTATATGGTCAAACTTGAAATAATTAGAGGTCACAATCTTGTTTTCTATTCCAAAATGACTCCATGTCGTCGTATACCTTAATACTAGGAACATTGTAATGAAGAGCCTCGCAAATTCGGCAGTAATGCCTCGAAATGCTACCGAAATAACCATGCTCGTTAATTACTTTGAAATATCTACGCCATTCGTGATATTCCAAGTATTTATCATCGTGACGATTAAGATACTGGAGATAGTTCGCCAAAGCGGACGGATTAGCGAAATCGTTAACATGAAGAAACGATTTAGGCGGTAATAAATGCTCGCAATCCTCCTTTGGCGCACCCATTATTATCGGAACCGCCGATTTGTGATAACCGTGCCAGAATACTTTTTCCGTCAAGTATTCTTTACAGTTTGAGTTTTCAAAAGCTAGATAAAATTTGTATTCGTTTAAAGCGGGACAATCCTTATCGAAATGACCCGGACACGCGGCTGTATTACCGTTGAGACATTTTCCATATATATCCAGATCTTTTCCTAAAAACGACTTGAGCTCCTTTACGTAGTCCCATCTGCCGTTCGTACCGCCACAATTGCTGGCCATTACGGTAGCAACTTTAGTTTTTGATTTTTTAATATAATTCTTCGGGAAATCTGCGTCCTGAGAATTTATGTACGATCTGGTAATCGTTCGTCCGTAAGGTACCGGAACGTCGCTGTCCATTCGATAGGTCATCGACCAATTAAAGAAACCATTATAGTTCGACAGTTTTTGTCTTCCGTAGAGGAAAGTATGCATCGGTGATTCATCGGTTAAAAAGATCCATCTTTGATCCAGTCGACGTCTCGCTGGCAATTCTGACACGTCTTTTGTCAGGTGTAAGTGAAACACGACCGCGTCTGCAGTGTCTAAATCTGTCGATTGGTACGTTAATACACAGTCTTGTACTGAACAATTTTCCCAAGGTGAGAATCTAAAAATTGAGGTATCTATAAGTTGAGGTCACCATATTCAATACATTCAATTCATCATATTCAAGTTCGAAGCTAATTTAATTGATAATTTAATTCGCGTTGATATTGTTAAATAAATAATCATTTTCTTTTATTTTATATACAGTGACGCTTTGCCTTGTAGGTAAAGACATTTGTCTAAACTGTTAATTAGAAAACACCTCCGAAATCAATGTTTCAAAAAGGCAGTCCTGTTATTCGTACCTAATATACGAAGTATTTGTTTTTCTTTTTAAACAGTCGAGTATAAACAAATATTAACATCACTGATTAAAGTTCAAATAATGTAATGTAAATACTTATTAAGTTAAACTTGGATACTCGTATTATTTCTGAATATTTCTTTCATGTTATGTAATTCATCTGTTTTGGCGTTTCAATCAAATGAGATTGAAAAGCTTCTTCATTCCTCTTTTTTTTAAAGTTAGAACCCTCTAAATTCTATTTTGTCTTGAGTTCTATAAAGGTATAATGCGTCACTGTATAATATAATGTGTCATTAATAATGTGTTATTAACTCATTGTTTGTAAATCGTTTGATGTGCCTGCGTTCCAAGAACTTTCCATGCTTCCAAATTAAAATCAAATAAGGGCCCTTTTTCGTATTAATTTTCGGTGGTGGAGAATGACCCTCGCTAGACACGAGCCACTTTCCGAGCAATGTCATCTTACGAATCTAGTACGAATAAAGACGTGTATTAATGATTGTTATTAGTACCAAGCGGAAACCTACGAGGGGACCCTACAATTGGACAGATCAAAATCAATTGGTCGCTCAAAGCCACTTTCTTGCTTGCGAATTATATCTTTCGCCGCATCACCGCCTTCCTTTTTGAGAGTTAGATAGTGGTGATATACCTTTGCACGAAAGAGTGAGGTATACATCGTGAGGATACAGATAAATCATAGATATAATTAGAATTATGATAAAATTAGTGTCTTATATTCAATTTCCATATACCATCTGATACCGTTAAAGGACTATTATCGTTCACGCGAAAAAAAAAGATTTCTCTTTAAGAATTTTTATTTTACATAGCAAATAATTGTGGAATGTCAATGTTTTTATATACAGGGTGTCCAAAAATGTTGTAACACCTTGAAAAGGATGGTTCGGGAGGTGATTTGAAACAACTTTTTCCTTAGCAAAAATGTTGTCCGAGGTTTCGTTAAGGAGATATTAAGCGAAAGCCCCGATCAATCAGAGCGCGAGTATGCCGGTGGAGCTTAGGCTACGCGAAAGGCGGCTGCGCTTATACGCTACCGCGGCCGCTCCAACGGTATACGCGCGCCCTGATTGGTCGGGGTTTTTTGTTAATATCTGCTTAACAAAGCCTCGGACAACATTTTCGCTAAGGAAACCCCTTTCAAGGTGTTACAACATTTTTAGGACACCCTGTATATTGTTGACATAACTATAAACATAATTTATATCCTAACTTATTCGTGCTATCTCATATATAGATTAGATAGCACTATCTAACCTAAAATAGTTAAGAGTAGAGCTACGAAAAAAAATATAATGTATAGTGCGAACATGAAAACGCGATTATTTTACGCAGTGACCGGTCAACAAAGTGTTAACATACTTAATGAATAGAAATTCACGTAAAGAATTAGAAATAATCATTGAAAGAAAGATGGAATTGAGAGAAATTTAAATCTCAACCTTCCAATGGTAAAGTAGTCGCTTACTGATTCTTTCATGGAGTTTAAATTCAATATCCGTTGAAGCGTTACTTTTGACTAGATGTAAAAAATAGGCATTTAAACGAAATGCTATATAGAACGTTATCAACTTCTATTTCATCCTTCTATATTTTACAAAATTATTTGCTATCATTATATTCATCTATACCTTATTGGGAAGAACGTAAAGTTTGGTGATATCGTCTTATTAACAATAAAACCAAGGAACTCGAGTAATTTTATTTTCGTGGTATTATTAACCCACTTAGTATTATTTTAATAAAATGAATTTACGTAATAAAAGAATCTTCAGAACAAGAATATGCACGTTCAAACATGTTTCGACTCAGATATTTATCTTCATTTTTAAAAGAAATATTTCAATTTATAAATATACCTTCTGAAATGAATATTTTTCAAAGTATCTTTGAGCGATACATAAAACAATTATATTAAAAGGGTTACAAACAGAGGAATATAACATTTCCCGTCAAGTTTCACGGCAACTGCACACGAACGTACCTGGTCGTCGTTAAAAAAACGTTTCTTCATCGATTTCATCGACACTTGTAGGGTTTGCTTTCGATCCTCCGTCCGTATTGCGAACGTTTTCTCGTCATTTTTTTTGTCAGCAATGTATACAGAAATAATAAAAAAGGCACATAAGATCGTAGAAACAGTGCATAGGAACAGGAGAAGTCGTACGTATCGCGGAATTCTGAACATCGTACTTTCGAGTTACTTCTGCGACGGTAGGGAGCGGTAACCGAAGCATATCGGTACTTGGTCTTGACTGAGTTTCTGTTCTTCGTGAAGCTGTTTTTCCATTTTGATACTAACATCTATTAACGTGCCAATTGATTTCTACGTGTCGATTGATTTTCTAGCGATACGCGCCGTTCACAAGGTCCGTGTTATCAATTGTAAACGAGCGATTGAGTTGTAACACGACCCGCAATTCCTTTGATCGCGGATTACATCGGCACGCAAATTTTAACAGAGTGTGATATTTTCTTCGATAATCAATTCATTTGGAATAGCGGCTCTTAACCCTTTCGAGCTCACAGCACGAATCAGTGTCGAGCAAGATATAATACATTATTTTTCATTTCATGTAGGTAAACCGCACGATTAGCTCTGAAAGATTAAAACGTACCGATTTATAATTTAATTAATCAGTTAATCAGAAGGTATTAATCACTTTCCTGTGCGGTACAGTTTAGAACATTAATGACAAATAAATTGGCAATTGGCATGTTTACCAATTGTGATACACGATATGTTTTTACTAGCGAATATTTATAGTAAATTTTTTATTTTATTTTTGGTGTTCATTTGTTTTGTACCGAACACTTCCACGACTGTACATTACACAGATCAACGAACGCTCGTAGCCGTTCCAGTCCGTGGCATACACCGCTAGAAGCAGGACACTTTTTCACTTTTCCAATTGACAACTTTTTATGAATATTGTTTATGAACGATGTAAAACGCAATCAAATAACAACATGAATGATTATTATGCACAACGCTCATGTACCAAGTATTCATACTATTTGCTTTTTTAATTTAAATTAAACCTTTCCGGTCTTTTAATTCTTTCTTTATGTATATTTTCTTTCCTTTCCTAACGTTGTGTACTGTTTTAATTTTAGGATTATTAAATATTATATTATTCGAGAAAGGATTGCGAAACAGTTTCAAATAATAACAATAATTTTGTGTTGTATTTTAGTATCAAATATCGTATGAAATTAATATTGTAAAATATGAGATGAAAGTCCGGACTATTAAAACAAATTTTGGTTTCATGGAATTTATGGACGGATTCAGACGTTCAATATAAAAAAGAAAAGTATTCAAGTTTGACTCGCGTATAACTTGAAAGATTTAAAAATGTTCGAATATTTTTACGAAGTTTTCCTGATGAAAATAAGTCAGAATAGAACCTTACATAGATTATTTGTAATTATATTGTAATCCACGTCGATTTGTTTATTGATCATTTTTTTTTTTAATGAATTCATGCTGAATATAATCAACACTCAGACTTTTTTCTTATCTTTCTATTTTATACGTACAATTTTCATTGATCAAAGTGAGTGATAATATTCGTTTGTAATTTTAAATTAAAAAATTACTAATTTACCTTCCGTGACTGACACATTTTTTGCGGTATTTTTTGTCCTTATTAGTAATATTTCTCTGGAACAAGCATGATATACTTAACAAAATTTGGCTTGATAGAGATTTTGCTAAGACAATCTTCCATACAAGTCATTATTATAATTTTTTTTTAAATAGAGGCTGTACGTTCTATTGTCTGCAAGGTTATTGTTATACCACGGGATTTACCAACTTTTCGTGATGTACAGTAATCTCTGTTTCAAAATCTGAATACACAAGCGTATCTAAAGTATACCCAATTTTACAAAGACTAAGACACGCCAATTCGATTGCGTTTAGACGAACAAAATTGTTCAAACGACGAGTGGCTTTTAAATAATAACAAACTTTCACCACTACAAATATTCTGTAAAGGATAGATACAGTAAGACCCCGCTTAACGCGGGGGATACGTTCCAATAAGTTCCAGCGCTAAACGAAACAGCGTTAAACGAGGTCATCTTAAAATAATGGCGATAAGTGAAACAGAGCAAAGAATTAAAAAATTGATCAGTTCTTTTCTTTTGTTTCATTTTATAACATTTATTATTAAATTTTTTTGATCGCATCAATTACGGACTTATTTATTGCTAATGTTGGAGCGTTTTATTACGATTTATTTGTAGAACGGACTCTATGTAGTTCGTCGGCACGTTCGACTCGAAGAAACCGATAACGTTTCAATGTTTATAATACGGATATACGGCGCCCGGGCCCCAATTAGGGAGTCGGCTTCGAACCACGGTCGTGACCGGTCGAGGAAATATACCGCGTATTAAAAGACAGTAATTTTTGTCTCGACTACGGGACTTCGTAATTCGACAATAGTAAAACAATCAGACGTTTCGGACGACGGCAGGATATCTCCTTGTGCGGGAGTTTCCATCGGAACTCAGTTTCCGCAACACAGTGATTCCTGGTAATCTGGATATCTTCCCGCACAGGAGACTCCAACGGAACACTAGTCCGTGTCATCGTGATTCTTGCGAATCACATATATCATCTGGACGTCTTCTCGCGCAGAAGACTCCAACGGAACACTATTCCGTACCATCGTGATCGATTTACAATCTGGGAATTATTTCCTAAAAAATCCGGTGTCACGCGATTAATCGCTGACGGGCTCCCGACCTTCGTGTACACGAAAAAATCATCAAAGTCACACGCGACACGCTTACATTAACAATTCAAATATTGTAAATTCAATAATTTAAATCAAGGGTTTTTTATGCCTTCGGGCTTTTTCCCTTGCATCAACGCTAAAATAAACTATTACTTTTCATTCACCATAGCTACGATTAATTATTTATAACACCTTTATCTTGCCTAAACATCCTGTCGGACAGTCACGAATTTCTATCCTTCCTCGAACCGTCTTTCTCTCCTGCGTGTGTTTAGATTATTCTAGACCCGAAACCAAAGGGGGAACGAATTCGAGGGGACAGTTCATTCTTGTCCGAAACTTCGACGAGGTAAGATCGAGTCAAGATAGTTAATCGAATAGATTGAAATTGTTTATGTTAAAGAGTTTCGATCGAACAGCTAATTTTTATTCATGAAACATTCATGAAAATCAAAAAAAGTTCAAGTAAAGTTATTGGGAGGAAATGATGGATCGGTGATACAAATGAATATTTATTATAGATTGCTCTGATTATAATTTTTCACTTTTAATTTGTTTAATGCTGAATATAAGAGAGATATACCGATGCAAGAGTATTATACAGAAGAACGCTTAGCTTCCTATGCGAACATATGTAGTTGCATGATATCGATACCGTCGATATGGTCGATATCGCCGCCATTAGCATAGCCGCCAAAATATGACTTGTGTAAGAATGCTTAACTATAAGGTGTTAGTGAAGCATTACTTTATCAAAATACATAGTCTCTATATCGATATTGTACCATCACTTTATACGAGACTATTTTTGTATCTACAGGGTGTCCCGAAAATGTTGTAACACCTTGAAAGAAGTGGTTCAGGAGGTGATTTGAAACAACTTTTTCCTTAGCGAAAATGTTGTCTAAAGCCCTGGTTTTTCTGAACGAGATCGCCACGGAACATTTCGTTCGTTTAGCCCGGACGAAATGGTCGACGGAACGAGTGATTTGAGCCGACGAGGCCGGTTTCTCTGAAAAACCGTCACGAAATGACGACGGAAACCGAAAATAAGGATTGTGGACGAATTCACGAATACCCAACTCATAGTGGTGTTTGTGTAAAATCCGTGACGATATTTCGTGGACCCCATTCCATCCAAACCAAATCATTTTGGTTTCGACGGAACGAAGCGGACGGATTTGCGTAAGTGCGAGTGAATAGATACGAGGAATTCTGTTTTCGTTTAGGGTCGAAGGGATCAGGGACAATACCGATACTTGACCCAACCTTTTTTTTCCCTATGACTCTACCCCAGGGGGTATGTCCCAAACCATTCCACTATTGACGATGTTATGTTGTATATCAATCTCAAAAATGAAAACTCGTATATGTGGGGGTTCGATTCTAACCCTTTCAGGTTAATGCATTATCTGTAGCCAAGGGGCAGTTTTCAATTAGACGCAATAATGAGTCTTCCGACGCGAAGGTGTTAATAATGAAATATAACTTATATATATTACTATAAAGAAATATAATTATAATTATTATGTAACCATCGGCAGCATTTGTTTCCCCAACCTTGGTAGCGCAAAAGGTAACGATTGGCAACATGTTCACAGACGATGGATGTACAATGGACGATGTTCGAAGTCAAATTCAAAAGACGCTGAACAAGTCTTTTCGTGGATATCCGAAATCGCGATAATAGCGAAGTCTATATGTAATTCTATGTACATATGTACCTATAATGAGACTTCCCTTACAAAATACAACACAGAGCTGGTAACTACTAATAATACTAAGTATAATAAAATATGTTTAATACCTTCGCGTCTGGATATACTTAAACAATTTGGTTTGCTACACATAATTTTATGAAATTCCTGTAATTTCTTATTTGACATAAGAATGCGTCATCCGTAATCAGCGGAAGTTTTCGATTTAACGCAAAAATAGGTCATCTGTAGCAAAGAGGTACTATATACTATACAATATATATATATATATATATATATTGAAATAATGTATAATATTATATAATGATCACATTTACACATGTGTATTGTTATATACTAATTCTAATTACATTCAAATATACTGCATGTATGCACGTTTGACGGCTCATAAACTCATTCACTACAACAGGAGTTCACACGATTCCGGAGATTCCGTCTCGCTTCAAATCGTTAATATCAAAATCCGTCCCGGTCGACGGAACGGAGACCCACGAACTGCCATCCGGACTGAAGTGTGAGACCTTTTACGCTTACTAACATACTACTGGTATCGGTGAGATCGTCCACGAACTTTTCCGTCTCTATTCCGTCACGATCTCGTTCAGAAAAACCAGGGCTTAAGGCTTTATTGAAGAGATATTAACGGAAAACACTGACCAATCAGAGCGCGCGTATACCGTTGGAGCGGCCGCGATAGCGTAGGCTACGCGCTAGGTGGCCGCTCTCGTACGCTACCGCGGGCGCTCCATCGGCATACTCCCGCTCTGATTGGTCAGTGTTTTTCGTTAATATCCTTAACGAAGCCTTGGACAACATTTTCGCTAAGGAAAAAGTTGTTTCAAATCACCTCCCGAACCACCTCTTTCAAGGTGTTACAACATTTTTGGGACACCCTGTATTTGCACTTGCACTTGTACTTACCCT